TGCACTATAAATAGAGTGTTTATAATAACACCCACAATTTAAGTATCAACAGTTTATTATAAGGCAAACATCAAAAAAAGAAAAAGAAAAGGCCACTCACAGGGTGGCAATTCTGCCCTTCCTTGGAATCGTTTACCCCTCTGTTCTGCTCTTACATATCTCTCAGACCCTGGCAGAGACATGTGTTATTAAACACCTAATATTTCTACCTTTTGTATAAATAAGCACATGCCTGCAGACAGAGGGGTTATTAGTAGAAGGAAATGGGGTCATTATCATTCCTGCTAAAACTCAACTCATAGAGATGGATTGTGTCCAAGTAATACACACACTATCCACATGCACATGGGCTGAAATGTAGTCACACTTGTGAACCGGTCTGCACGCAGCATTGAGTATAAGCTTTGCAGCTGTCACTAGAATGTATAATTTATAATTGCAGTTAATGCAGGAGGTGTCAAATGGTTTCATAGTGCAGCAGAATTGTAAACAGAGCAGCAGGTACAACACGGATGTCAACCTGAAACAACTTTCCATCTGCGTCTAATTATGTTGGTTTAAGTTAATGTATGGACTCTCTGTTTAACAGTAATGTCACTAGTTTCCCAACACATGGCAGCTGTTCACCCAGTTGGTGTTTTATAAATCGAGGTGAAACATACCTTGTGCTTGAGGATTTGTGATAGTTTTGTCAAACCAACCACTTACATGTAATAAATATTCATATTTTTGTCTTTGTCAAACTTACAACGCTAATCTGGTTTGTTAGGTTTAACTCAGTACTCGTGGAGGTGCATTAAACTTTCCTTTCTGACTGTGTTTCTTTCTCAACCTCATCTTTCTGTAGGAGATGATGACAATTTTTCAGTTGTTGCACTGGAACGGGACTCTGAAAGCTCTGAGGGAAAGACAGTGCTCTCGACAGGTATGGGTCCTGCTTGATTAAGTGTCAGCATCTCCGTATCTATGAAGTGATGATGGCCTATTTTCTCTCCTCCATCTCAGAGTGTGATTAGATATTACTCTCAGCGAGGACTTGATGAGTACGTGCGCAGCAATATGGCTCTGGATTGGCTCGCACGGGAGCAGAGATCACCGGGTCTCATCGGAGCTGAGTTGCAGGTGGCACAGAGGGAGCTAGTGTTGGCCCGGCGTCGAGGCGTAGAGCTGCGCTTCTACAAGGAAAAAACAGAGATCCTTAGCTTGGCTCTCAGCCAAGCATACATTCACCACACACCTGAGGTCTTCAGCCATTCACTGAGTCGCAAATACAAGCAAGAGCATCTGCCTTTAGACACATTTTACAGCCAGGAAACAGAAGCCCAGCGAGCCCCACCCTTAAGCCATTTGCCACCAGTCCATAAAAACACACAGCAAACAGTCTGTGAAGCCTCTGCACTCTCTGATAGTCCTTCACCATGCTCAGAGCAAACATTTGAGCCTTTAGATGACTTTGAATAAACTGAATCACAAAGTAGAGGATGGGCAAAACATATTGCCATTTAACTCTATACCTCCTAAAGGCCCACTAGGATTAACCATGAAGCTCTTTTCTGAAGTGTTTTCTGTCATATTTTACATATGAGAAGTTAGTGAGGGTATTCTTTGCCTATGCAGCTAAAAAATCTTCTACATCTACATTTGCTACACAGAAGGCAACTAGAATGTTTTTTGTCAGCATGACTGAGAGTTTAAAAAGAGGTTTTACAAAATTGGGTTGAGGTGTTATTATGATGCCCGACCATTATTAACATACAATTTAGTTTGTGACTATAAAAGTATGGCTCACTGTAATGTATAAGCAGCTTTAACAACAATAAATGTAGCATTCAAGTGATTTAGATTAAATAGTAGGAAACTTAATTACATTTTTAACGTGGACCTCAATTTTTTGTTTGTTTTTGGGGGGTTTTATGAAGAGCACTCTGTCACTGTCCTACATTTTATTTATGCACATTCTTGTAGCAATGTAGCATGCACAGTCACAAAAGAGCATTTTCATAGCACTCTATGCAGTCCTACCTAAAGCACCTCTAGTAGCAGTAACTTGACTTTATCAGTCTTTTTTTTTACAACTTTGCTTTGGTTCATTTAAGTTTGTTAACATTTGTTATCTACAGCTCTCTTGAAGTCCACCTGCAGTATTTCAATCAGGTTTAGGTCTGGACTTTGACTTGGCCACTAAACACATTGATTCTTTCCTTTTTCAGCTATTCTGTTGTAGATTTGCTGTTGTGCTTGGAATCATTGTCCTGGCACGTGACACAATTTGATAAAAGTTTTAGAGTTCATTGTGGACTCAGGGACTGCAAGGTGCCTAGGTCCTGTGACTGCAAAACAAGCTTAAACTATCACCCTTCCCCCATGTGGTGACAGTTGTGTTTGTGCTGATATGCTGCGTTTGGGCTTTGCCAAATGTAGTGCTGCACATTATGAACAAATAGCTCCACCTTGGACTCATCTCTCAAGAAGATTTGTCATTTGTTCTGATGCAACTTGTGCTGTCATGTTCTTTTTAGACAGAATAGGCTTTCCCCTGGCAAACTTTCCAAACAACTTATACTCTTTCTGTCTTTCTTTAATTGTAACACTGAACATACTGAGGCCAGTGGACTCTTTCTGTTTGTCAGTTAATCAAATGCATTTGATTAACAGCACCTGGCTGCCGCTCACCCTTTTAGTTCCTATGGAAGCAGTCAAGCTGTCCTTAGTTTTCCACGGGAAATCATAGAAGGCTTAGACACTCTTTTTCACATGACTGTATGTAAACTTGTTCTCCCTGCTTCACTCCTCCCTGCATGTCTAGGCTGCCATGTAATGTGTCAGTTTTTTTAAGAACAGTGAAAGATCCTGACCTATTACATGTTATTTGATTGTTTTACATTGATAAAGGACACATAGCAAATGCATAGTTCAGGGGAAACGTTAATTTCGTCATTTTAAAAGTACATTTCAAAATGAATGTTTTTTTCTGCCCTCATAACCTGTGACTTTTTTGTTTGTTTGGGGTTTTTTTTTTTTTAACATCCTATGTGTCATTTCAGACTGTGATAATTTGATTATGTCATAATGCATTAGTCAAATTTTAGATTTTAAGTATGTTGATGGAGGAAATTATGCAGTGATTCCACTAACTTGCAGATAAAGACATTTATGACTTTGTAGTGAGTGAAAATAATTATCTAAGGCAGGAGTGTCACACGTACAGCCAGCGGACCACATCCGGCCTGCCAGAGAATTTCATATGTCAATTATCAATGGCCCGTCAGTATGTAGGAGCAGGCAGGGGTGAGACTTTACATTGATAGGCACACCATGCAAAGACAGACTGTCATCATACCATTATGCAAAACAAGGAATAGGGACTGATGTTCAGTCTTATAGGCCAGGTACACAAGGCGACCGAAGTTGGATTTAAATGCAAGGGTGTCGAAAAAAGGTGAAAAAACGAGCGAAGACCAGTGGTGTGCGATACTGTAAATTTAGGTATTGAAGATACCAAATAAATAGAGGGCCAGTATTGCCAATACCAATACTGATACCGACACTTTTAACTTATAAAGGCAGTTTATGTAGGGAAGAGTGCTGTGTAATGATTTATGAGATAAATCATGATGAATTTGCAAATTCTGATTTTAACTACAACTAAATCACTGTGAACAATTAGTTAACACAACAAAACACACCCCTCAGCTTTTCATATATTTTGAAACTGGGTTTATTGAGACTTGGAATGTAAATGTTTATGATTTATGATTAGGCTGATGATCAATAATGGGTCAATGACCCTCCTAGGGACACTCCCAATAAGGCTTAAAAATCTGGGACTCTTCACCAACTGCTCTTAGGATTAAAGAATCTTCTTGGACGAGAGATGAAATATCTTCAAGAAACTTAAAGAAGTCCAGTCGCTTTTCTTTCCAAGTTCCTTAGATTGCTTCTAAAGCACTTTGGGTCCTCTTCTGTAGTTTAAATGTGTTATAGGACATAAATAAAATAGACATGACTCACTTTCAGATATTTTTCATAGTGCATGTTTGAGGTATATTTATTTATTTCCTAAAAAATGATCTATTTAACACAATTAAGTGGGCTACATGCCGAACTTAAAGGATTGAAACAAAGTATCGATTCTATTGCAATAATATAGATCTGATACCAATACCAGCATTGGTATCTTTTATCGATATCTGCCTATCTCTAGCAAAAACGTAAAATAATCAGCAACTGGCTGTATTTCAATGATATCGTAGACTGCAAAGCTGAGTGCAGAATTTAAAAAATTCAGAGCTGGATACAATGATACCCGTTTTTATTTTTAGCCATTTTCCATTGTGGAGAGCTAAAGGTTTTACACTTGTCCATACCTTAAACCTCACGTGTTGTCCCTAGTAGTAAATGCATAAAAATAAGGCTTTTAGGAAAACACTTAATAAACATTTGCTGCCTTGAAAAAGACTCAATTTACATTGCAGTTGTATGAATATTACATAAAATAAACTATATACAAGGTATCTTTGAACACGAGCGATTCATAAATGTCTGCATGTAGCTTAGAGCCATTTGACGCAGTGTCTTACAGTTTCTTACAGTTGAAGTCCAAAGAGCCGTGCTGACACGATTCTTTGTTTGTCACAGCAGATTTTTCTTTATCGTGTAGAAAAACAGTTAAATATGTAACTTCTTTACACTGACAGAAAGGGGAGTTTCACTGGTCGGGCCGCGATGTAAAATGAGTTTGACACCCGTCACTAAAGTATGAACATTTGACAGAAAATCGTCTTTGCCTATTAGGTGTGGCCTATCTGCTACTCCGTAGAGAGGTGGAGCAGTCACGTGATCAGAGATTTTGATCGAGGAGTTCCTGGAACAAACAAAACAAACTGCAGCCTGGCAGCGGACGTAGCTGTCACTGCGTCTCACTCTCTGGGACGAGTGGAAATTTGATTTCTTATTATGTGAGCAGCAGCACGGAAAACCGAGAGCCGCTGGTAAATAAACAACTCAATAGAAACACCGCCTAACGGGCGAGTGGCTCGGCGTTAGCGTAGCTTAGCCTTCGTACAGTGTCACCAACCGTGGGGCTTCATGGTTTCGTTTTCCCCAAAATGTGCTGTCTGAATATTTTGTTCACGCTAGGTGGCCTGCTAATCTTGATATTCTCCGCAGATGAATCCTGTCAACGGAATATAAAAGTGTGTTTTGTTTACAGTCAGTGACTGTGTTTATCTTGTCAGCACAACCAGCCACGGGGTGCTTATCACAGGAAATACCTCGCTGTTTGTTCCAGCTAATGGTCGCCTGTTGTTTTTGGTATATTTAGATCACCTATAATGACTGCTCAGATGATCAGCGGTTTTCAGGTGATCGGCATCATTTCCACCAGGAAACTCCTCAGTCAGCTGTTTGTGAGAGTGATCTGAGCTGTAAAAACAGCTGATGCGGACACGAACAGACACTAAAAATGGAGGCTGTGAGACCAAAGAAGAACAAAGCAAAGGCCAGCGGAAAATCTCAGGTGATTAAATCAAGTACCTTACAGGTATTCTTTACCTTCTTCTCTTTTCACGAGGGAATGAAGGGCCTTCAAAGTATAAACGTCCCAAACAGAGTGAACACCCCAGTAAAATACATTTCTCTTCACATGTAGGGACAGTTGCAGGTATCCACTTCGATACAGACAGGTGACAAGAATGAAAGTATTGAACCTGTGAACCATCTAGAGAGGGGATCTGCTGCTTTCCCTTGACAGTTTATAATCACTCATCATGGGCATGATTGTCATTGTAGTTTTGAGCTTTTAATGTTTGTTTTTTGTTTTTTTTGAACTGTTCTTTTTCAGGTTTGATGATTGTACAGAATACATCTTAAATGAGTTTAGAAAAAATCAAGAATTAGGTACACACACTTGAATTTATTTTAGATTTTCACTAATCCACAGAATGTCGAAATTTTACATACAGGCTCTTACATATCCAAATAATATTAGCAAATTACACCTCAACCAGACACTTGTTGTGCCTATCAACAAAGATTCGGGGATAATTCTGGCTGAATATTTGACGACTCTTCTTGGCAGAATTGGTAGAGTTCATTTAAGTTACCTAGTTTCCTGTTCTTTTAAGCTTAGTCCACAAATTTTCAGTAAGGTCAAGTTTGGGGCTTTCGGGAGCCAATTCCAGAAGCTTAATATTAACCTGCTTTATCCATTCTAAAACAAATTTGGATGTGTATTTGGGATCATTGTCCATTTGGAACACCCAGCATTGTCAAGTTTCAGCCATCTAGCTGTCGATTTGAGATGAAGTTGAAGTATTTTGAAGTGGTCCTCCTTCATTATTCCATCCACTTTGTGCAATGTACCAGTACCACTGGCAGCAAAACAGCCCCAGAGCATGATGCTACCTCCACAAGACTTGACAGTTGATACAGTGTTCTTCAGGTCGAAAGCTTCACCTTGACTTCTCCAAACATACCTCTTCTCATGTTGTCCAAATAAGTCAATTTTGTCTCATCTTACTTTAAAACCAGAGAGTATTTGGCCTCTCCATGTAGGCAGCTACAAATTTCAGTTGATCTTGAAGGTGTCGATTTTAGAACAGGAGCTTCTTTCTTGGTCGGCACCCTCGCAATGACAATGTAAAACTCACTTCACTGTGGACAGTGACACTAGTGTTCTAACACTTTCCCATTCATGGCAGAGCCATGTGAGTTTTGGTGGTTCCTGGGTTGTTGCTGAACATGCAATTTCCTGCCATCTGAGGGTAAAACAAATCACAAAGCAAAGAGGAACTATCAGTTATAGTCAGTAAGTATAGTAACCCCATCCATGGAACCAGAGAGGTTCAGTAAATTGGTTTGATTATTTTGTAGATGATGTGAGTCATATGCTGTGGTTTTTTGCAGTGGCCAGGTCTCATCCCTGTTAAACCTTTTTGGGAGATTTTAAACTGAAAACTGAAATATTAGACACTCTGCCCCAGTCACCAAAACACCACACGAGTAGCTATCCTATGAAAAAACAGCTTGATCCCTGCTTGATCCTCCCAGAGACTTGGAGCATGTACCAATGCAAGTTGAAGCTGTTGTGAAGGCACTTTGTTTTTCCTTTTTCTTTTTTTTTCTTTCAGTCTGTACTTTTATTCTTTAGAGATTGATAATAAATCAAATGACTTGCAAAACACATAAATTTAACATACCACCATGATCCAAACAACAAAAATATCCATGATTACAAATGCAGATTCTTTTTGGCACATTCATAGCAGTGTTTGTTCTGTACTCACATGACTATGGTCACATGTAAAAAGCTGTTACACAAGCTTGGTTTTCCTCCAAAGAGAAATTGATGTGTCATTGTTGATTTTTTTTTCTTTTTCCTTTTTCTTTTTTTTTCTTTTTTTTTTTTTTTTTTTTGCACACAGCTGGTCAGGAAGCAGAAGCAGGCAGAGGAAGACAAAAGAGCCCCAGCTCCCTCAGCTGTACCTGAGGCCTCCACTTCTGACTTCACTGAGATCCCCCTGAGTCTGCCCTATCAGGAAAAGGAGGAGGAGGAGAATAAGCTAGACACTGTTCAGAATCCTGAAGCCACAGCACAGTCATCAGACCTGCCTTCTGAGAAGCAACAGGCAGAAAACACAGCATCATTGCTGAGTAAGACTCTACAGCCAAGTCTGAACTCCTCAACAGTGACATCACAGGTCACAGCGCAAGAGACCAAAAAGGAGGAAGAGGAGGCTGATGTGCAGGAAGCTCAGGGGGCTGGGCTTAAAATTGTGCCACAAACCACTGAGCTTGAAAAGGATGAACAGTCATGGAATCAGCTGTGTGTTTTAACTCAGTTTGAAGCTTCAAATGTCCCAAGTGCCCCAGCACTGTATCCGTCTCTTCCTACACTAGAAGAAGGTTCAGTGATACAGTTCTGTGGGGAAGCTGTGGAAACATGTGGAAAGGAACCTGCAGTTTTGGCACTTCCTGATCAGGAATCTTCTCCTCCAAGTTTGCGGCCTTTGGAGTCCGTGGCCGACCTTTCTCGGAGCAAACTCTACCCAGAATTACCCAAAACAGCTTTAGAGGTTCAGGTGATCTAATGTACCATGAGATCAAATTTATTGCTAATGCTAAGTTTTATTTACAATAAAATGGTCTGTATTACTGTATTATTTAATCTTTTTGCTCTGTAGCCGTTCTCACTGGAGCAGCTGAGTGTTTGGGAGCCAGGCGGAGGGTTGCGAGCATGGCTGGAGGGGGTTGAGGTTTGTGCAGCACAGTTTTGTGCTCTGGCGCGGCAGGAGAAACACGAACTGACTGAACTGTTGCAAAACTACTGGCGTTGCCGCAGACAGCTGACCCAGTCGCACACACAGCTTCACACACAGTCATCTGAGTGCAAAAGCACACAGAATCGTCTGTGGAGCTTCAGAGATGAACAGCTCACACTTCAGGTGTGTTTTACAAAACATCTATAGTACAGAAAGATCAAATGTCCCACTATTGTTTTCACACTTATAATTTCTATCTTACAGGGTGTGTGTGCAGATCAGACAAAGGTATGTGGGTATCACCGCTTCCAGCAGGCAGAGTTTAGTGAGAGTGTGCAGGCTGAGCTGAGAAGACTGTTTGAAGCTTGCAGTGAGCTGCTCCATCAAAAGGTCGTGCTGCATGCGTACACCGCTCTGCTGTCACGCCTGCAGGTGGAATCATACCTGTACAGTCTTATAAAAGGTGGGAAGAATTATTTTACCTGTACTTCTGATATTACTAGTGTAAAATGTATGTGTTACATCAGTTTTGTCTGTTGCTGTCTCAGATTTTCAGTTAGATGGCCAAACACAGCCGTGTTCTCTCCAACCTCTGAAAGAGGCCATCAGCGTCCTGTTTAGTTTCACACGAAGAGTCCTTGATGACACACAGTTCCAGTCAGACATCCATCACTGGCTTGAGAGATTGGTATACACACAAACCCCAAACCATTTTTCAAACGTACTGCCCCAGTGGTCAAGGCAATTTGTTGTTGCAATCCTTGTGTGTTCCTGGTCTATTCTCCAGGTCGCCGTCCTGCTGCATGTTGGAGGGTCAGGGGAGCACCTGTACCTCCTGTGCCACCTTCTCTGCTGTCCTGCTGGGGTGGGAAAGTGGGCTGCACACTTCCTTCAGGTTAGTTAGGAACACACGCCTGTCATTTATCATTTTATCACGTCAATTGCTATACATACAGAGGAGTAGAGTTCTTCTTTATTATCTTACCCAGATCCAAGTTTGGGGGAACACCTCTGGAGTTCAGCAATTTATGCAAGCTCTGGCCATTCTAATGTCACCTGCCAGGTAAAAATGCAAGTCTCTACATGAGTTTCTTCTTTTCACCCACTGACTGTGAGCTATACACTGCAAATTATGCTTTTGGCTTTTATGAGAATCCAGGTCATCTTTTTAAGGGCCAACAGTCTAAGATCTCAGAATGTGGAACTTTTTTTTTGCTTGTTTTGACTCAGACATCGTGCAGAGTTCCTGGGCCACATGAAGCCGTGTGAGAGCCAGAGCTCAGGTGCTTCTGGACAAGAATCTGGCAACTGGACCTTAGTGGATGAAGGTGGAGAGGAGGTAAGTTTATTAAAGTAACAATTTCATTTTGAAGAAAGAGGCACAGTTCACTTCTTTTTGCAATAAACAACAACAGTGAATCATTTAAAGTACGAGGTGCAAGTTCACCATTTCAGATATACATTTGTACCATAGAAATTGTAAACATGACATGGCAATAAAAAGAAAATAGTTTTTATATCAAAAATGTGATCCAAATGAGTGACTATAACAGGGAATGCTAGTGCTTTGTAAGCTAAATTGGTTTCCCTGTAAGAAAAACAAAAGTAAATTTATATTTTTTTAATTTAACTTCTCATGCAGTATTGTTAGCTTATTTGTGAAAATAAAATGTAAAATTATTATATAAAATTCAGAAGCAGCTGTAAATAAATGTAGGTACATTAACTCCTCACTGACTATTGTCTGCCCCGTAGATAGTTCCTTGGTGCCCTCTAGGTGAAATGTGGCCAGTTTTGGTGCATACATGCTTACAAAATAAGAGAAAGAAACTTCACCCTCTTTTATTTTTAAGGTTTTATGTATCAGAACACATAAAAAAAATTACAGGAAGTCAGCAGGTCTTAAAATTAGCACTCTACAAACCTCAGCCATCCTGCTCTTTTTTTAGAGAGGAAACGCTTTCCTCCGTAAACACTCCATGCCTGTTCAGTCGTCTTGTTGTACTGTCATGAACTTTCTTACTGAATAATGGATTTCTTTTCCCAGGTTAATTAGTAGAAACAAGTCCTTTTTTCTTTCCTTTTCTTTTTTTTTTTTTAATCAATGCTGACGTCTTACCTCCTTGACATTGTGTTAACACACCTGAACGCTCCAGACCAGCTAACTGCCAGAACTTCTGTTTTTATAAAGGTGCTCATACTTGCCGATGATCAGTTAATCAAGTGCATTTGATTAGCTGGACCTGACTGCTACTTACCCTTTCAATTCCTGTGGAAGCAGTGAGGGTCTACTTGATATTTTTAGACACTGCTTCTCCATTTTAGCTTTGGTTTTGTTAAATAAACAATGACATGGTGTAGTGGGTCATCTGAGGTTGTATTTATCTTATTTTAGGACCTGCTAAGCAACAGGTCTTAAAATCAGATACATTTTCTATTATGTCTTGATATATAAAATGTTAGATGTTAAAGAGGGTGTGCTTTATTTGTAAATAACCACATTTATTGGAAATAACCAATATGTTTTTAAGAAGCATCAAAATGTTATAGTCTCTGAAAATAGGGTCTCTTTTTTCTTGTTTTCTTTCACCAGTTATGATGCAGGCGATAATAAATATTCAGTCTGCTTGTTTGTAAAGAAGAGCTGTCACAGATTGTAAATTTGTAGAGAGTGCTTTTTAAAACAAAATGTTCTTGTCTGTCTTCTGATCTTGAGTCACATCAATGATCTGTGGAGAAATTGTGCTAAATGAACACCTATGACCATTTAAATATCAGTCTGCTGGCTTAAAACCACAACTGCTGCCAGTACTAATGTGTTGCCTAGTGTTACGGATTCAAATATTGGGGGTGGATACAAGAGGAGAAACCATAATAACAACACTGGTCCGGCCGGGTTGATTCAAACGATGATTTTAATGATCACACGCGTGGGAGATGGACACCGTACGCAGACAGCATCAGATCTCAAAATGGTGGAGCATTGATCAAACTCTTATAGCCTCTAGTGGCCCCCACCTTATCATAAAAGCCTGAACATTCACATGCTTTCTCTCACTCAGCGCCTAAGCTACGACCTTGGCTCCCTGTTTATCTGCTCCTGCTGAGATGGGGCAGAAAACTCCAGTATGTTCTGTTCTCTTCTAATCAGACAAATAAGGCGATGACTTTCTGCGAACAGTATTTCTTATAACTCAGCAGTATAATGCATCATAAAACAATATCATTCATTCAAAATAAATCAGCAGTCTAATGTAATGCAAATCAGTTTAACAAAGGCAATAGTTATCACCTTCTAATTCAGGAGAATAATGCAAACTAAAACTACATAATAATTCACAATCTTTAATTAGGGGTATAACATGGCATAAAATAATATAATCCAACACTAGGAACTGTGGTGTTTTCAAAGCTTTTAAAAGTCACATTATTTTAAAAAACACATTTGTGATTTTTTTTTTCAACATGTTATTACTGTGTACTGTTAAAAAAAAAAAAGCAAGTAGCTTCTGCTTTATATTTTGCCAAAAAAACAAAAATTAAAAAATGCCAGTCGTAGCATATTGCAAATACACGCAACATGTAGTAAGTCGGCCCCTAACGACATTGTTGTCTTCTGTGTTTAGGATGAGGACCCAGAAACCAGCTGGTTGCTACTATGTGAGGAAGATCTGATTTTATTGATTACCCAGTTCCCCTTCCAGCAGCTCTACTCATACATGCTTGGGATGAGCAAGCAGGGTAAGAGAGTCAGTCTGACCCATCTGTGTGTTAGTTTGTTTGACTCACGGTGTGAACTAACAGGTGCGTCTGTCCCCAGGTGTGTATGAGCCCCAGGCCTGCTCCAGTCAGAAGATGATGCGGGTGTTTGCTTTCGCTTCCTCGCTCATTGAAATTCTCGCTCTCGGTCTACAAACCTATAACAGATCCCGATACAGACAGCTAGTCAAACGAATAGGGCACATCATACGGTCAGTTCGCCAAGCACATAAGCAGCTTCTATGTCCTGACACTTCTCAGGCCATATCACAAAGTCAGAGGATGCATTAATAAAATGTTATGTTTGGCTTTTCTTTTCTGCTCTCCCCCAGAATGACAGTTTGCTATGTGAGTGATCACTGGGCCCAGTACGTGAGTGTGACTGATGCCGCTGGATCTAGCTCTCAAGTACACTCTCTGTCTTTGGAAAAACTGCAGATTGAATATGATCATCTTTTCCTCCGAGCTGTTTTACATGTACTCAGAAACAAAAGGTGAGGAGTTAGCCTCAAGTTTCCATTTTAACTGGGAGCAATTTACTTTACAGACTTTGATATTTGTTATTAATTTTGTGTGTTCATCCTCTACAGGTTGGGCATTTGGTTGTTTATGTCTGAGATGCCATATGGGACTTTGTCCAGCTCCATGCTCTGGAAGATTCTTTATGTTATGCAGAGCGCAGAGACTGCAGGGCTAGAAACACTCAGCACAGCTGGTGACACATACGCCTGCATTCAGGCTCTCAGAGGTACAATTAAACACACATAAGATACACAAAGCTTTCACATCCTTAAAACTTGCCTGTTGAATATGTTAATGCTCAGAAGTGTCCACTCAGTTTCATCATCGTATTAAAAAGGAACTTTTTAAAATATCCCAAAAACATTCAATTTGAGCTTTGAACAAACTCATTTTCTATTGTACTTCTTTCCTGGATCTAAAGTTGCATCATGTCGGTCTTCTTAGTCTGGAATTGTCATTGTGATTTTATTTTTTCTCTCGGATGCAGACCCACAGCATCAGGCGAGTTTTGAACAGTGGCTGTGTGAGGTGAACAGCTCTGACGGCATCTCGCTCCTCACTGCATTAGCACAAATGGCGACACCCACTCAGCGCTCTGACTCACAATTCATCACCACTATAACTCTCCTGATTTACCAGGTAGGGGGGGCTAATTTTTCTGAAACTAGTATCAACTTTGTAACACAACACAATTCATCATCCCTGATTAGGATCTGTACTGTCTCCGTCTGACATCCATTTCCTCATTTTTGCTTCAGGTCTCTTATGTGAGTGTGTCCACCAGAGAAACCTACTCCAAGGTGGGGAGGGAGTTACTGGCTGCTATAGCAGCAGCCCACCCATATGTTATCTCGGTGCTCCTTGAGAGACTGAGGGACACCATACAGACTGTGGGAATGGTTGGTATTGTGATTCCATAATAAAGGTTTTAGCTGTACATGATTTTTAGTCATCAAATGTTTAATTTGATCCATGATCCATCCACTCGTGTGTTTTTATTTGCATGTTTCGTTTGTGTGTAGGTGGCTTTGTACTTGTGTAAAGAGCTGCCTCTGAGTCTTTGGCAGCCGCAGCAAGAAGAAATATGCGTGATTGGAGCGTGGCTCCTTCAGCATCCTCTGTCAGCTGTAGAGAACCGGCTGGCCTGTGTCATCCTTGAGGGTCTGAACTGGGGGTTCAACACTCAGGTAGAGAGGATGTCTTAGACTCCTGACAGTGCATTCGTGAGTTTGTCACAACCAACCTTCACTAACCTTGTTTCCTTATGTAGGATGGCTCTTTGTTCCTGCCTTCAATTCTCCACAATGAGGTGGCACTGCTGGTGGCTGAAGCCTATCAGAAGTACCTTACAGACAAACCATACAGTGGGCTCATATCAGAGGGAATCAAACAGGTGGCACATTTACACTTGCCTCACATCTGCTGAATTCTTTAATGCTTATTTCTGCATTACACATCATTCTCTCTCTTTCTATCTCCTTTCAGGTCTCTTACCTTGCAAGTGTCCTTCGTTTGGGCGTATCTCCTGAAGCATCCTTTAGTCAGTGGGCATGGCAGCTGCTGCTGAGGCTGAAGCTTCATGGCAATTCTCAGAACCCTAAAGGAGCCTGGGTGGTCCCTGCTTTGGCATCCAACCCACCTCCAGAGCTTACGCACTCTCCTAGCATGCACTCTGTTCTGAGGGCTGTAAAAGCAGGCATACCGATTGGATGCTACCTGTCCATTGCAATGACAACCGTGGGACATAGGTTTGTATTCACACACTAGGAGAACATTTACAGCTGACTTACACATTGTGAAGGATTGAACTGGTTAGAGATGGGTGTAGTTTTTGGAAAACTCAGCCTTGTTTTACCCAAGAAAGGCAAAAACAATTTGAAAATAATACAAAATATGATAAAATAATTTAACACAATTTGATATACAAATATTAATCAATTAATGTTGCAAATAGAACTCTTGCTTTTCAGCAAATGTGTATCAGGGGCTAATATAGCTACAGTATATTATGTAAGGTGTAGATGCGCGAGGTTTCTAACTTTAGTTGTATGGCAATCACATGTATAAGTTGAATAATCTTGTGTGGATTTTGTCTTTATTTTTTCAGCCTGGAACATTTCTGTACTGATGGTGTTGGCTTGTTGAAAAGTCTGATTCAGTCTCGCCATCTGAGAGCTGCTGTGCATCTGTTAGATAACATCCTACCCCCAACCTATCCTCTTAGCTACTACCTGCTCAACAACGCTCAGTAAGAAACAGGCATCCTTCGTAACACATGTAAAATCTGCAGCTAACTCGAGCACTGACTTTATTCCGACACCTCTTGTCTTGCTCTTTGTTAATGGCAGGTTTGTAAGCTGTATTCAGTTGTTCTTGCAGTACGACAGCGTGTGTCCTCAGGGCATGACGCAGCAGGTCACGCATCGAGTGGCGCCACTTCTCACTGGAACCAGTTATGGAGACAACGTCCGTCTGCTGAACAGTGTCATTCAGGTGCATGGTGAAACTTTTGTGCATGTTGTGTGCAAGATTCCTGAATTTATATGAGAAACAATGAAAAAAAAAATATGGAAAAGAAGCAGATTTTAATTATTGTGTGTCCAGGAAAAAATGCAATAATGTGCATTTATTTTTTGGTTGTTTAAATTACTATGAAACAGTACGGTAATTAAATTACCAAGTATTTTCCTCACCCTCAACATTGCTGCCCCTCTCTAAGCCTTTTCTGGAGGTTTCTTCCTGTTAAAAGGGAATTTTTCCTTCCCACTGTCACCAAATATTGCTCATAGGGGGTCATCTGGTTGTTAGGGTTTTCTCTCTATTATTATAGGGTCAACACCTTATAATATAAAGCACCTTGAGCTGACTGTGGTAGTGAATTGGCACTATATAAATAAAGTTTTATTTAATTTAATTATTCGGGGTAGTTGAACAAATTTTGAGCCAGCCAAACCATGTTAGAAGGGGTTTTGTTTTATCTTACTTTTTTTTGTTTTTACATGTAAACACACTCAATAATTCAGTCCTCATTACTTTGGGACTCATTACTCATTTTTTAACTCATCTTTCAGAGTCATGTGGTAGAAAGTTCGAAACCAGGCCTTGTTGGAGCTGCAGCAGTTCTGGAGTTTTGGGTGGGAATTCTGACTCAACAGAACTTGTGGTACCGAGACAAAACAGTCCTGTTCCTCATGGATCAGATCTGCTGCGCTGCCTTCACTTACCACCAGGAGGAATGTGTCCAAAAACTCCTGTACCAGCAACATAAGGTATTTACAAAGTGGTGTTTGATTTGCATGATTAAGCAACCTCTGAACTTCACATTAATATTTAATGAGACACAAACCAAACAGACTGGGAATAAGGTGAGGAAAGCTAATTAGCAGCAATGTTTGGGGGGGGTTCTGTTTTTTTTTTTACTGTTTTTCATACCCTCTGCAGACTGCTTTGGGTTATCATGGAGACCGGGGTCTGCTCTCTTCTCTGGTTGGTTGGATTTCTGGAAATGCCACACCCTCCTTCATCGAGGGCCAATCCTTGAGTGCTGAGGTGAGAGACAACAAAGCAACAACCACATGTGTAAATACAATTGATCACATTAGTAGAATTCTCCATCCTCACTGGCCTGTTAACATTTATGTTTTCTTTAGATCTGGTTTGCCTGGGTGGTGCTGAATATGGAGGGTGTGTTTGAGGAAGATTCTCAGCTGAGGCGCTGTGTTGAGCATGAACTCCTGTCAGAGCTTAATATCTCCCCCGAACAAGCCTTAAAGGTAGACAGTTTATCAGTAATAGGTTCATTATCTCATTACATAATGTGACATTTTACATCCTTGTTCAGAGAAGATGTATTCTATGACCTTTGAATAAAAGTGAACAGACTATTTGCAAAACTAAAGAGCAGAAATATCATAGAAAGTACTTAGGATCCTGGTCTACTGCTGTTCAATGATTTGGAGTGTTGTGTTTAGATGATGTTAACAATATTTCTGTTTCTGAGCCAGAAGGCTCAACAGAGGCTTAAGTTGCCGGTAGCCCCGTCTCTGCAGAGGCTTCAGGTATATCGTTGGGCATATCAGGCCGCAGCTACACCACCTGATCACCCCCTCCTACCCCTCATCTGGCAGAAATTCCTGCAGCTCTACCTTAGACAGCCTGGACCTGAGTACGGGTATGATAAACATGCTCATGTGTTATGATCCCCAGTCAAAGAAAGCAGAGAATAGGCAGAATCTGTATCTATCTGTCCATGTGTCTCTAACAGGCTGGCTGCAGGAGGATGTATCGGCAAGAGGTTCTTCCAGGCCTCTTCCCAGGCTGCTTTCCTCCGAGATCTGAGGCAGAGAATACAGGAAGTGTCTGACTTCCACCACGCTGCCAGTCAGGCCCTCCGGGTACTCCCACCGAACACACCCTCATCAGACCAGGGTGACGAAACCCTCAATAATCCCGGACCACCTTACCTCACTTCTCCTCAGCTACATACAGAACTGGTCAGGTATGGTGCTGATCCTGAGACAGAGCTTTTATAAAATCTTTCTTATTTTTTGTTTAAAGATCATTTCCTATATTCCAGGCTATGGCAGGCTCTAAATTCTCAGCTGCTTGTTTGTTTGTCTGCAGGTTGTTTGGAGTATTTTCTGTGTGGCTGGATGACGAGACTCTGCAGAAGCAAGAAGTGTATCTTCCCTCTCTTCCTCCAGAGTATGAACCACACAGACTGGCACAGGTCATGCAGTGGCATCAGGTGAGTATAATTTTTTTTAATATATATATATTATAATATATGATTCATTTATTAATTGTTTTTGTTTTGTGTTGTTTTTTGGGGGTTTTTTTGTAGGAACTTTGGCTGGAATATGTGGACCAGGAGCGTCTACAATATGATCAGAGGGAAGTTTTGTCTCTTTGGAAGAAGGTGCAGAGTGAGCCAACATTCCTCCAGACTCAAACCTCTGGTTTCACTGACTACACCAGCCTCAGCAATGGTACGGAGCCAAGCTTTATAGCCAAACGATTAAGCAGGGGTTAATTAAAAAGAAAATATACAGATACCAAAAATGCAATTCTGTAAGAAGTTTATATACTGTGTGTCAGCTTCAGAACAATAAATAATATATTCTCTGTTCGAGATATTTTTCACAGGAGACATTTTCACTTTTTATTTGTTAGTGTTTTTCCTGCTATTACATGTCAGAAACTCCTGTAATAAAGAATTGTTCTCTTGTTGATTTAATTCCCTTTTCTCCTTTGTCTTTGAGACCAAAATTATGTAGACCAACTATACACAAGTGTATTTGTTTCACTTTTCATATGTGCCACAATCTACTTCTACTTCCAAATCTAAAAATGCTTGCATTTGATATTGTCTTAATTCAGCAAGGGAGCGTATCCTGTCCAATCTGCAGAAACATCCAGTTCCCCGTTTAGCTCCTGAACTGCATAAGCTGAAGGCACCAGTACCTGAAGTGCCTTCCGCCTGTCTCACTGACTGTAAAGCTGCCTGTAAACTGTTAGAGCAGGACCTCAGCATTTTGCAAGATCAAGCCAGGTATGTGTAAATCATAAAATAAAAGCTTTTATTTTGAATTGTCTATAAACATAAACAAGTCGCATGCAGATTCCCAAGTAATTTATCTTGGCACCAGGATTGCTGTAGCACGTGAAGCCCAGCAGGTGGCAATGGAGCAGGAGCTGCTGGAGAGCCTTCCTGTACTGTTTAAGAACCGACCAGAGCAAGTCACCATGGCCCTGGAGTGTAAAGGGAAGGGTGGACAGCCATGCCAAGGAGCTGCAAACATCACTGTCACGGTAAGACCTCTCACACTGCAGGCTAGCCATGTTTTAAGTTACAGCTTTGGTATGTTTTATTAATCTGTGTGTGTGCGTGTGTGTGTGTGTGTGTGTGTGTGTGTGTGTGTGTGTGTGTGTGTGTGTGTGTGTGTGTGTGTGTGTGTGTGTAAATTTGTAGTGTGAGCTTGTGCAGAAGCAGGAGGCAGTGCAGACTCAGATAACATCACTGCGCAGGGACATCAAAAAGCTTCAAACCGATGCTATGGCTCCGCCACCTGAAATCCTGGCCCAGGCTGCCGTTCACACTGAAAACTTCATCACGTCAGTGCAATCAGATTTTATATCATTCATATCAAGATGCATTATATTGACATATATGAAGGTAGATGGGGAATGTCTTGACTCAAGTGCACCTTGTTTCATGGTCTTAGGGCTTTGGTGAATATGCACAAAGCACAAAAATCTCCTGCAGTCCAGAAAGTTGGTGTGTCTGCTTTTTACAAGGTGGTCTCCTTTGTATGTGAGGACACGCTCCGTCATCCACCAACTCGTCAGTACCTGTCTTCATGTGTGGAGGTACTGGGACAGGTGTGTATATGCTCTAACAAATACATGCACATATTGCAGAGTAGCAGTGTTTTTATTTATTGTTGTGTGGAATATATAAGTACAAAAAATGGGTATTTGAGCCAGCTGGAATACTAGAGAATAACCATAACCACCTTGAATAGAGGGCATAAAGCATTATTGTGTACATAAAGAACACACATCATAGATATGTTGGATGGATTAGCTGCGATTAACTACTCAAATTAAAGTGTATTTAATTTTGTGTGTAGGTATTTATCCAGGGAAATGCAGAGGAGTGTGGCCGTGTCCTGAAGACTATCCTGGAGCAGCGGCGGCTTTGCCCTCTCATTTCCCCCTTCTTCACTCCCAACGCAGCGCCCAGTCAGCTGGTGTTTCTCTACCAAGACGTCGTGACATCGCTGTCCCTCGACAGCGCCGATGTCGTTTTCATGCTGCTCACTAAGGTTAGTCCACGTGCAAGTGGAATGAAGAAATGGGATGTATACGCCGCAAACCACGTGCCAGTTACAATGTCCACTTCTGACTCTTTTCCCCTGCAGTTTGATTTGTCTCAGTGGCTGAATGAAGCCCATCCCGTGTTTTCGGAGAGGACACGTTTGCTGGAATTGGTCCATGGAGCTCTCTGCGTCTGCGGCCGAGACCCCGAGCCTGAGTTTCTCACGCCTTTTCACCTTTTCACCAAACACTGGACCTGGCTTTTACGGCATCATTTCCCCGACCATTACAGCGATTGCCTTCGCCTCCTCATGACCAGTGAGTTGATCTGTTCTGAAGTGATAAATTGCGATTACCCTCGATTTATTTATTTATTTTTCATTTCTTTCCCTTCAGTGTAGTAAAGAATGAAAATTTCCTTAAGAGACATCTTTCTTGGACTCTTATATTAAGCAGCCATTTTTCCCTTCTTGCACATCACGTTAGACCCTGACTGCTATTTATTCTAGAAAATGAATCTAAGAAAATGCATTAATCTTCCTGAAAGGATGCAAGTTACGATTAAACTGATTAATGAAAAATGAAGTCAGTTCATTTTGAACAACAGATGCAAATTTAGTGTCAGTGAGTGGTTCATCATTGTTTGGCTTTTGTTTTTCTGGTTTTTGTTAAGAGATTATTCCAAATGGAGCCGCTGATGTCAGCTGTGATTACAGAACTAATCAAGAATAATCAGTTTGGGTGTTTTGTTGGGAACTTCTTCAACAGAAGGATTTTTTTTTAACCTCCTCAGGCTCATCCAACCAGCTGCTCAGTCCGGAGTGCTGGAAAGTGACTCTGCGAGTGCTCGGCTGTTTACCTCCATCCCGCAGCACCAAGGGCAAAGCTGAAGCAGCTGTGTGCAGCACTGAAGTCTCCACCCGTGGTGTCGCACCCCCAGCCTCCCCCTACAGGTCCCCCATCACCCTCTCTCCTCAGCAGGTAGTCTTAAAAGTGTAAAGTGTGCATGTTAGTCCCCGTAGGGAAATAGTTCCTCTGCATTTAACCCATTCACCCAGTGAAGCAGTGGGCAGCCACCAATGCAGCGCCCGGGGAGCAGTGTGTAGGGACGGTACCTTGCTCAGGGGTACCTCAGGGTAGCCGTTCAGTGGAGTCGAACCACCGACCTTCCGATCATGGGGCCACCACTCTACCTACTGAGCTATCCCTGCCTAGCTTGTAGGCAGGGATGTCTTGGCGTTGTAAATATGTGATTCACATCTCTATTAAGAGTCAGCATGCTGCGCGTTAAGCCGAAGTTTCTTGCAAAATGCAAGTTTGTTTTTGTTCAGTTTTATGACGTTTAAATCTTCGTTTTTGTATTTTATTTGTTGCTAACAGGTGGATGAGACAGTCGATTGGCTGAGTGACTACTTTTTACGAAGTCGTCTCAGTAAGACGGACCTCCGCAGCTTCGGCCTCTATGCTTCCTGGACTCCCTACATTGAGGACGTCGTTTCCTTCTGGGACCATTTGATCAGTTGCCTCATCAATGTGCAGCTCAACAGCTGCGCCCGAGAGTCAGTGGGCAGCAGCAAAATAATGAAAGGTAGCTGCAGATTATTAACTTACATTTATGTCAAACCTCTGAGTTTAACTTCTAGTTTTGTGCATATCGGTTGTAATGCATCATTGTGAAAAAGAAATATGGCACTCTCACAGCTCTGCAGGACCTGCACAGTAAGACTGTGAAGTTATTTAAGCCATGGATCTTTCCTGTGGACGCTGGCGAGGGCAGGTAAGTGTCTCACATCTCAGACAGGAACAAAGATCTGCTATCAGTTAGCAAGAGTTAAAACAGATGTGAGCATAGAGCAAATTTTAGACGGGGCAGTTATATAAGCTGATCTTTCTTAGTTTTCTTAGTTTCTTTTCACAGGGCAGTCATTAAAGGTTACAGTCATTACTTAACTGAATTGAATCTTTCAAACCTCTGAATCACACTATACATTACCCAGAATAAAGCACTGCTGTAGCATTGTTCAGAAAAAAAAAAAGAATGCATTAATTATTTATTGAATGGCACACAAGAATGTCAATAAAGTATGTCCTTTTACATCTCATTGTCATTAATAGAAGGGACCTGATAGATGAATTTGCAGTTTGATTCTAATTTTAGAGGACAAACCAGAGGAACAGCAAATTATGGACAAATAATCTCAATAACTGCATCTTTATCTCAGTAACATCAAGTGTTACCCGTGGCTGGAGACGGATGCGAGTGCAGCAGGATGTATGGTTGGCCTCTACATTCAGATCACTGACCTGCTTCATCACAAGTTCAGAGGCAAGTAACAGTTTAAGCTACAGTGATCTTTGTCGTCTGTGCTGTAATAACACGGAGAAGCTAGAACCATAAAGGATGTGTTTACTCTCACGTTGTGTGCGTGTTTATGTTGCAGATCGTCTGCTGCCTGGTCAGAGGGGTGCTCTGTGGCTGTGTATGATGCAGTACTGTGAGAGCTGTACCTCACCACGCACACCGGAGTACCTGCTCTACTTGTATCACACACACCTACGCAGCCTGCCCTGGAGACACCTGCACCCTGACACTAAGCTCATGGAGCAACTCTTCAGTGTGAGATACTTTGCCCCTAGACCCCTAACACCTCACACTGATTTAGACATGTATGTCACAGGGAAGCTTGTTAACCTGAGACCATGATCCTTGGCCCCAGTTTCTATTAGTAGCCTGCACTTACAGAAATACAGTCACAGCTCCTTGTTCTTGGAAAAAAGCTGTGTCTCAAAGCCCCTATCAATCATTCTTTGAAGGCTATCCTGTGGAATCTATTGGCATAGATAGGATACTTGAATTCATAATAATAAAGGTCTGATTGAAAGATTGATAAGAATGCATGCTTATCTGTGAACACTGAAGAGCAGCAGAAATTGATATTGGAAGCATGAAGAAGGTTACCAAGCAACCTCTTACATTATTCAAGCTAATATATTAAACTTTAAACACTTTTGATATGTGTGCATCATTATGGGGTTTAATACTCCTACTACGGAGATGTTTAATGATTTATCATAAATAAATTCATCAGTGTATTGATATTTACACTGTTATAGCTACTTTCACAGTAACAGGAGCCTAAAATGTGCATTTTACATTTACCTTGCATTAAGTAGATGTTGTAACTGATACTTTGAATACAGTCCAAAGCAAAAAGGGTTTGATGTGTTTGGTGCTTTTTCGATTACTTGTGCTTCTTGTGCCTACAGGTGGAGAGAGGAAGTCCCAAGAGCTGCTTCCTGTTTATGGGAGAAGTGTTATGTGAAGTTAACTGGGTCAGCATCCTGAGTGACCACTTACAAACACCTCCCGGCTCCACAACATATCCAGCTGTGTCAGAAATGGCCACACAGAAAGAGTCGCACACTATGTTGGTATACCTGCTCTACATGCTCGTTTTTCTGGCAAAGGAGGAACAACTCCTGAGTCAGCAGGTGAGTTCAGGCTAGTGTGGTATCATATCAGAATCAAGAATCAGACCTGTTTCCTTTTTTCAGTCATTTTTCTTTCTTTTTTTCCTGTTTAACCTCCAGGACTCACCTCTGTTCAGTCTGCTGGTTCAGTCCACATCTCTACCCTGGCACAAACTGGACCTGTCCTCGTACCAGAGCATTCTGGGATACGTTAGCACCCACTACCCTCCCTCTTTGCTTCTCAGTGCTGATTCTGCACCTCAGCTGCTGCTGAAATCACTCCGTAGTGCTGCTGGGCTCCACCCCTGCCCCGGTGAAGCTCCACACCAGGTGAGACGTTACAATCCTGTTTGTTTTCTGCATCAGATTTGTTAAGGTGGCGTAAATCTCTTAAGGCAGGTTAAACCAGCAAATGGATTACTCTGAGAACGTTTCAACTCTTGCTTTTGACTTGATCAAACCAATGACAGAAAATTATAAAATATAATTATTAGAATAGTATTATGCTGTATAAAATATATGGCTTGTGTTGAAGAATATAGGAATTTTTGAACAACTTCTATTTCTGTCAGCATCTTGAGTTCACTAAACTGGCATGCCTGCTATAAAAGTGCAAGGTTTGGAACATACACATGAAACTTAAACGTAAGCAGTTGCAGCGTTCGGGGAACTCAGGATGTAAGTCAGAGCCTTGGTCTGGGGCAGATTGACAGGAAAACTCGCGTGTTTCATGGCAGAGCTCCTTGACCCAGAATCCTACCACAGAGCCACTGTGCTGTCAATAACACTCAATCTGTGTAGCTGCTTTAGATGTATGTTTGCAGTACGACATTTTATACATCATGTGATATTTTTCCCAAAATATCCAATGTCCAAAAAAATATATTGGCAAGCTCTGTACAATCCTTCTAACTTTACATACGACTGTTTCAGGATCTAACAGAAATACGTGGCAAAAGCTGTGGAAAAAAAGAATACATTTAACATAAAGCATGAAACTCACTGTAAATTTAAAACAGACATATTTTACTTATTATCTACAAGGTTTTCCTCTCACAGTAAGGAGCAATAAACAGTTCCTCACTAGTCTAAAAAATAGTCTAATTTTTGACAAAATGCGGTCGTTTACTTCCATTTATTGTGGGCTTGGTAATTTGGGGCTTTTAACAATTTTCTTTAAACAGTAATTTTCCAAGGGTGGAATGATTGTACAGCATCTTTAATAACTTAAAAAAAAAACAAGAATAGGAGTTAATGATGTAAAATAATCACGTCCATTTTCGGCCTGAATTCATTTAAAGTGTTTCATCTGTTTTAGCAGTCAGGAACCTTTAGTTTACAGAGAACTGATATATATTTTATAGTCAATAGTATAATAACAAATAAAAAAATATGAAAAAACCCTACAATTTCTTTCGTTTTTTGTTTGTTTGTTTTTCATATCAGGAAGAGACGCTAAAGGCTGGAGCCTACATTTGCTGGTGTGTGCAATCTCTGGTGACTCTGGAGCAAGGAGGCAGCATCACCCTCACCAGCCTGGAGGCTCAACTGGAAACACTTTTGGAGAGTATCATAACCTTCAACCCACCAGGTGAATTGTCCTCACCATCTTGCTAATCAAAAGCTTCAACCATCAGTAAAAACAGTCTTCTATAACAGAGATGTCAAACTCATTTTACGTGGTGGGCCACATATACAGCCCACTTTGATGCTAAGTGGGCCAGACCAGTGAAACTCTCCTTTCTGTCAGCGTAAGAAAGTTTAACTGAGCATTTAATCTCTCAAATATCTAAATATAAGAAAAAGAAGTGCAGTGAATGTAGTAAATGTAATTGGAAGAAATAAATGTGTAAAATTTCAGTAAAAGAAAGAAAGAGTCTGTTAGCTCGCAGAAAATATCCCTTTGCTTTTTACTCTGAAGCTTTTTTATTAAAACAGAACTTTCTATTGTAAAGAATTGTTAAAAACAAACAAACAAAACAAAACAGGAACCTTTCTGTGATTTTAATTGGGTTTTTTTTAAATTGTATTGCTTAATTACTTTGGTCACGGGGGAGGTCTTTATCAGTAGGAGAAGCTGCTAAACTTATAAAAATACAGTTAAAAGTCCAAACTGTATGCCCTCCTTCTTTTTTTCAATGCTGGGCCGAATTGGAGTCCTTGCCAGGCCAATTCTGGCCCTGGGCCTTATGTTTGACACTCCATTTCTACAGCCTTATTTCTACTCCTTCCTGTTCCCTTTCAGAGGTGGATTTGGAGCAGAGGCACATGGCGTTCTGCAGTCTCTTCAGTGATGCTTTGGCTTTGCTCAACGGCGTGGGCGTCTCAACAGGCGAGGCACTCGCTGCCCATGTCATTACCTGGCTGGACAGGAAAGGGAGGGGCTTTCCAACTCTTCCCCTTCTCACAGCCTGCTCCCGTTGCCTTGCATCAGTGCGACACATGACACGCATCATGGAGGCATGCATTACAGGGTACTTCAACCATGGTAAGTAGCAGTTTAGGGTATGCTACTTCAGTGCTACCATTTCCCCTGAAAGTTGGTTTAGTCCTTTTCTTTTCAAAACATTTGAAGGATGTCCGAAAATTGGCTAATTTTTTTTTTCCACATCCGTGATTTCAATTCAGCCGAGGAAGAGTCTGTAAGGTGGGGACCTGTGTTGGCATCGCTGCAGGTGCCCGAGCTCACAGTAGATGACTTCCTTTCTGAGAGCCAATCAGGAGGCAGTTTCCTGACGCTCTACGCCTTTATTCTGCAGCGTCTCAACAGTGAATACACAGCAGCCAATGAGAGGAGGACTCTGGCTCTAATTAACACTTGGACCAATCAGGTCTTTCCCAGGTTTGTCCCTTTCACTCGATCTTGTGTAGCATGTAGCGTTTGTCCTCTGTGAGCTGTAAAGATATGAACATGTTTCATTTGTCTCTAGCGGTCCGGCTGATGAAGCCAAGCTGTTTCTGTGGTGGCACAAATCCCTGAATCTTTCAGCGGAGCAGCTACAGCCACAGGCAGGCTTGACTGAAGTATCAGGTGTGGTCTTGGGCCTGATGAGGTTTCAAACTAGGCTGCTTCAACTGGGAGAAGAAAGACTGAACTCCGGCCTGCTCGGAGCTATAGGCCTTGGAAAAAGGTCTCCTGTCTCTAATAGGTGAGCTGGCTTGCACATTATTAGTAAATCAAAACACCTGTAGTCCATAAAGAGTAAAAAATGTGTAAAAACAAATTCACAAATGTTCATAACCTAACTGTTTATGTATACAATGCTTTAGGTTCAGGGTGGTGGTACGCAGTCTGGCAGCTTTTCTGTCCATTCAAGTGCCATCAGAGAGCGAGCTTCGACTTCAACCCACCACTGACTTGCAGCTCTCTGCAAAAGCACAGCAAGTATGCAAAAACTTGAAGTGTTTCATTTTCTAGTTTGTAATTATCACCTAAAAATAACTTCTTTTTTTCCTTTCCGATGGTTTCAGATGTTGGGGACGCTGGAAGCCATGCCCAGTAATAAGCAGTACGCCGAGTTAGAGGACTCTGTGAATAAAGCCGTCCAGTTCATTCGCTACCCAGGACATTGTCTCAAAGATGGACCCCGGCTGCTGGCCCTCCTAGCTAACCTCCTATACCCCGACCTCAGATACCTGCACATTATCCGCTGACTGTGAACTCACCTTCTACCTGAGAGTAAACAATTGTTCAATAGAGTCAAAAATCCTGAAGGAGCACAAAAGTTTTAAGTGATGAAGACACTTGTTCTGAATTGCCTTTTTATTGTGTCAGCGGGGGACTTGTGTGACAGAAACTTACTCATTAAAGCTGACTGAACATTTGTGAGGAACAAACCTCTTGACTGCTAGAGTACAGTGAAGGAACACAGACCGTCAGAAGTTTAAGCAATCATGTGTGCTAATCTTTGACATTTAGGCACTTTATTTTCTTCTGATGTTCATGCCTTGTTGCTTTTTGCATAAGTTGCCTGTTGATTTTCAGCTCCATCGGTTCTGTTCTTGATTTGAGAGGATGTTGCATGTATTTATTGAAGTAGAACTCATGAATCAGAATTCAGCAGCAGGCTCTGTGGGTGTGAGTTTCACACCTGTACATGGAATCTAACAGGAAAAAAAGATGAAGGGTCCACAGATTATTTAGAGGATGTTAAAGGACTCATTTAATAGACCTATAGGTTTGGTAGTACCTTCTTAAAATAGGGTGTGGGACATACCAGGAATGCTGGTAGTTGGGGTTCATTGCTTAACACAAGTCTTGTTTTTTGCTGCTGATGCTTGCATATCCATGATCCGCAGTCTGAAATATTTCAATCCAAGGTGCTGTATACAGTAGGAGGTGATCATGTCTAGTAACAGCACATTTGCCAGTATTATGTTCATTTCCAGCCAAAAGTGCTTTCCTTGTTCTGCCAAAGAGATGTTATTTTCATCTGCTTAGCTACTTAAACCTCCTTAACCGTGATCTCTGGTTGTGTCATCAGTGTCCGTTAAGTCCAAAACTACAGTCTGGAAAAGCGAAGTACAACTTGTCTTCCTTGTAGAATTGTATGTGCAGTGTTATTCAAATTGCTAATGGTATAAGGAGGTTTTAATGCTGTTGAAGCTAGAACAGAACTGGACAGCTTTCTTACTTTAATTACTCCTGTCAACTCACCACTTCTGTTGCTCTGTGCCATCTCAGTAATCATCGAGCTGCACTTCAGCAGCCTGCAGCTCGCCTTATCGCTGGTATTATGTGGTGACTGTTAATGTCAAAAGCGTTTCTTTTTTATGAGTCAGTGATCAGGAATGGGTCTGTAAGGACTGCTGCAGGAGGTGTACTCCGTAGCCAAGCAGAACAAAAGAGACATGACTGCTCAATAAAGGGAACTGAACACCTCACAGCTGGTATTTATCAATATAACGCAGCAATCTGGGACCAGATGTTGCACATGGAGCCGCTGAAAGCACAAACAGGACCGGTCCAGACAGCAATTAGAGGTACAATGCATTGTTCAGCCTCTACAACAAAACAAAGTTGTCTTTATCTTCACATTCTGCTCATAATGCTCCCGACGGATAGACTTAAACTGCATCTTCCTCGTCAAAGAAGGCAGTTATGACAGAACCTATTGTGGACTGATTTTCATGGACAGCCACATCCTCCTATTCTCTTCATATGCACAAAGTAACAGTACATGCCCACCACTAAAAAAATGTTTTGAAAAAAGTACTCTTCCCCTATAAATAGAGCCTTTAAAAAGCAGGGGGTGTTGAAAATGAGCTTTTGTGTGCATGCATACATCCAGCATTTGACACCACCACTTCTGTCTCAGAGAAAAACCTCTCTTCGGGCAACTGTGGTCTCTATGGTTACTGGAAGGGTGGAAGTGAGAGAGGAGGTGGAGACGACGGGAGAAAAGAAGGGGAGGTGGGAGATGCTTGCAGACACTCACCGTCTCCTCTTGGCTCTCAAAAACGGCCTTCGGTGCGTTCTGTGAAGCCGTGTGTGTTTGTCTCTCACCGTCTAATTCGACCTTCTGTTCTCCCGTCTCTCAGCTCAGGTGGTGAAGTGCTGTGGAGTGGTCGGTACTAATGTGAGAGAGTTTGCTCTGGAAACATTAGCCTCATAAAATTTCTCCTCCCAAACCCATTCACCGTGTCCTCCATCCCATCCGACCCGCATACACATGCACATGCTCGGCGGGACCCGTTGCTGATATTCTTAGCAGACACATCACTGTCTGGCAGATCCCTGTGTCACCATGGAAACCCAGCATCACCCCGTTTCGGTGCACACTCAGCATCAGAGGAGCACGTGGATGAGCTCCCAGGCAGTCATCAATGGCTATTAGTTTGCAAACAAACACACACATGGTGCACGGCAGCAGAAATGTGACTCTGTTCTCTGAAAGCTCACCAGTTATGCAAGACCTCCTGCCTGTAATGAATAAGAATAGTCGATTGTGTAACCAGTTCAGTGATTTGATACAGACAGATGCAGATCTTCACCTAACCGGATGTTGCATTGCAGTCAGCTTCAACATGTTTCAGTGGCAGTCACATTCCCAAGCACGAATAGCACTCCACCACTAACCAGTTGTTCTTGTGGGACAGCTGCAATGGCTCAAAGTCCCTCCCCACTGCCAAAACACACACACCTATCGAGATGCACAGGAATGTCTCCCCAGTGCCCTGCACAGCTATACGCCAGTTCTCTTCGTGCTTGCTTTATTTTGAATGTTAAGCGTGTGTCAGACAGACTCCTCCATTGAGACGCCCACTTTTCTCGCACCTCCTCGCCAGTCCAGTGGGGAGTGATGACTCAAACCTAAATGAGCCTTTATTTCTCTCTCATTATCTCTCCCCGTCTCAATTCGACAAGAAGCGTTTCACCCTGCTGGGTGTACTTTCCTGTGCACTTAATGCTAAAAGTCATCAATAATGACTCAGACCTCCACATTACATGCAATTTTCTTCTACTTTTTTTTTTTTTAAAGCTAGGTAGGCTGCTCCTTGATCTGATCTGCACAAAGGAATATTTCTCCTTTGAGATGTGATGTGTGGAATGAAATCTCCCTGCAGTGAAAGACGGAAAAAAAACTCCAAATAAGGTAAATTTTATTGAACAAAATCTATTTAATGTATCTCTGGGGATTTTAAGCACGTGGCCACCACTCTTCTCTACTGTTACCCACACTTTGTCTTTAGGTCCTACATCTGGTATCTGAGTTCATATTAATGTGAAGATTAATAGATTTCACATATTACAAGATGTGAAATCTTGTAATATCAGGTTCACTTGTACACAAGGACAGTCTAGGGGTCACTCTGAGCTTTAAGACCATTTGTCAACAGGTTTGGGTAAGTTTAACTATTTGTTTGGGAATCCTCACTAGTAAAGCACGTAACCTGATGAAGGCCTAAATGTGGATGCTTATTGCTTACTGATTTGTTCAAATTAAGACTTATTATACTTATTATATATACTTATATACTTATTCTAATAAGACATTATTTAGAAGCTGTGTATGTGTTGAATCTCTACCAAACATCAACCTTGATGGAGCCATTTTCACTCTCCAACAATCTCCAAGCAGCTCTGGGTCAAGGTTTGGGGTCAGATGGATTATTTTGGAAATGGCTAAACTTGGATTTATAATAATAGGTGAAAGGCTTAAAGGTTGGGAGGGAAAAAGGTAATCTGTGTTGGGGGTGAGGTTAAGTGTAAAAGTGAAAATATTAAAAATAAGATTTGGGTTGAGGATGTAATGGGTTTTTCAGGGATGGGAAAGCGTGAAAGTTGAGGTTTGGTGTTGAGAAAGTAGGATGTGACTGTGAATAGATGTTAACTTTTCACAAAGATAGAAGATGAAAATGCGTGTGTGGGGAAGAGGGGAGTCATCACATGACTCAGCAGTCAGTGTTTATACCGATTAAATCCAGGCACGACTGCAGGATCACACGCATTAACACACACCGCTTTCTTTTTCCTTTAAAAAGAAAAAAAATTAAAGAAAGGTATCAGGACGACGCCTGTCCAAATATGTCCACCCAAGCCCCAGACCTGCCAGCTTCGACTGCCCATAAATCAAAAAGTTAAACCAATGCCACTAATTTAACTTAATCCTAAATAGAAATCAGCCTGTGCTGTTTGTGTGTATGTGAGCAGACCCTGAACAAAGAGCGCTGCTGGCTGACAGAGGGTTGGGTCTGCTCTCCCGGCTGCAATTTTCAGACACAGGACCAGAATCGGAAACAAGGCAGCAGCAGCAGCAGGAGGAGCAGGCTCGGTAAGGAAATGTTTTGACGCTTTTTAAGGAAAAGCTTTCTATATTTGCGCAAATTTCAAAGTCGGGTGGACCAGAAAAGAACACGACTGCAGACGAGAAGCGGGGTTAGGTTTATCAACCATCACCAGAGTGAAAGGAGTTATTAAAAACCGAACACAGCCCCGTATCAAAGAAGTTACAATCACTTAGTAACTTTTTCATAGATTCCTTGCGCACCCATGCTTTAATCCATTTTTTAGAGAACGGTACCCTGCTTTTAAAAAATATATATTAGTATTATTATTATTACCCATGGTGGATGTGGACTCGAAGGTTCACGGACATTTGTCCGAGATTTTTCAGAGAAACGTCAGGGGGATCTCGGTGTTTGGTCACCGGTTATTTCAGAGCCAGTGATCCTCCCGGCGTCCTGACGTCAATTTATAAGGACCCAGCAGCATCAGAGCAGCAGGCAGGCAGACAGCAGGGGCTGAAGGGAAGAAAGACAGAGAGACAGGGAGAAGCCGGGCCATGCTGTTCTGATTCTTCATTAATTGCAAAGCTTCCTGGTAGGATTTTGCTTGTATTTCTTCTCACTGTCCATTTATTCGTTTTTTATTTTTTAGGCTTTTCCTTTCTGTCGGAATGTGAATCAGATTAAACCCGCTGTTGGTTTTTACAGTGGCACAAATAAAGCTGAAATTGTCACGCTAAAGGGTTTTTTTTTCCCGTGGGAGTGGGCTTTACTGTAATAGCGAACGGTTTCTGTAGCAGCAGATAGTCAGGGTGTTTTAGTGTTACAGATGAAACCAGGCTTTCCCCCTGCCGTGTGCGCTCCCGCTGTGTCCACCGCAGTGCTTCGGCGAAGCGCTTCTGCCTGTCCATTTGGGTTTTTATGCCCGGATGGTTAAACAAAACTGGGATGGAGGCAGATAATCATCACCATTATTATTAAAGTATTATCTATACCCTGCCTAACAGGCTGAGCTGGTCGCCAGAAGCCCTGTGATGAATTAGATGAAGGGGGATTCCTCGGCACTCTTGATTTTTCAGCAGTGAAAGCAGCACCTTCTATTTCCAGCTACAGCATCATTAAATAGTGTTCACAGTAAAACCCTAATGGATGCAGTCCACTCTGCACCTTTGCCAACTCAAATATAACCTCTCCTTCAGCGTAGTATCCATCTTAAGACTCTAAAGTAGTCTTGTATCTCACCAGTGACTGACAACAGCCTGAGCTGAAGAGGGGGTCCCATTCCTGAGAGTGCCAACATGGGGAAGGACTACTACAAGACCTTGGGCATCCCCAAGGGCTCCAACGAGGAGGAAATCAAGAAGGCCTACCGGCGCATGGCGCTCCGCTTTCACCCAGACAAGAACAAGGATCCTAGCGCAGAGGAGAAGTTCAAGGAGATCGCAGAAGCCTATGAGGTGCTGAGTGACCCCAAGAAGAGGGTGGTCTATGATCAGCTGGGAGAGGAAGGTAAGGAGAGGGTGTTCTGGGTCATTTGAGTGCAAGGGGTCAGAGAGTGCAGGCTTTGTTAGTGAAGCCTTATTAAGCCGGGGTTATGATGGATTAAGTTGTTATTGAAATAGCTCAGGAACCATCTCATATCGCAGCTTGGTGGGTTTCAGTCACTGAAGTAATAATGCCGTCTCTTCCATGTTTTCATGTTTATGTGCTGGCACATGTTTAATTTTCTGTTGTTGTCTTCGGTGTCAACAACACTTACCAGCTCTAATACCTTATAGTCTACCTCAGCTGCCCGTAGAGTGTGTATGTAACTCTGTGTGCGTGTCTGTGTGGTGTGCTAGATGACAGACAGATGGCATAAGACTATTACGTGGTTCAGATATGAATAGCAGCGACTGCTGTAGTTTGCATTTGTGGGTGTTCTGTGCATGTGTCTCTGCTGAAAACGTGTGCGTGTAAGTGTGTGTTTCTGTGCGAGTGTGTTGGATGGAGTGACCTGAGTTTCTCCAACAGCAGTGCTTTTGGAAGACCGGTGATGCTGTGGGATTTTTCCCACCTACGCGGGCACCACTCTTCTCTCTACTGTTACCCACACTTTGTGTTTAGGTCCTACGTCTGGTATCTGAATTCATATTATTGTGTGTATTTTGGCTGGTGGGTGTTTGAGTGTGTGCATGTGAGGTCTCACGTTCTTGTTCTCTTTCTCTCACTCTCTTTTTTTTAAATCTCTCAGGCTTAAAAACAGGAGGCAGCAGCTCTTCGGGTCCTCCCGGAAGTTCATCGTACCACTACACTTTTCATGGAGATCCCCATGCCACCTTTGCCTCCTTCTTCGGTGGCTCCAACCCCTTTGATATGTTTTTCGGCTCCAACCGCAGTCACAGTCGCTCCAACGGCTTTTCCTTCCACAACGACCACAGCAATGACACGGAGCAGGACGCGGAAATGGACGAGGATGATCCCTTTACCCATTTTGGGAGGCAGTTTGGCTTTCCGGGGGGGATGAACAATGGCTTCCCAGGGGAAGGCCGCAGGAGGAGAGGCGTACCATCAGAGCGCCTCGGGACCAACCGAAAGCAGCAGGATCCTCCGGTCGTCCACGAGCTGAAGGTCTCGCTGGAAGAGATCTTCCACGGCTGCACCAAGCGCATGAAGATCACGCGCCGCAGGTTGAACCCAGACGGACGGAGCATGAGGACGGAGGACAAGATCCTCAACATTGTCATCAAGAAAGGCTGGAAGGAGGGGACCAAGATTACTTTCCCAAAGGAAGGGGACGAGACCCCTGAGAACATTCCCGCCGACATAGCGTTTGTGCTTAAAGACAAAGGGCACGCCCACTTCAAAAGAGACGGTTCCAACATAATCTATAACTGCAAGATCAGCCTAAAAGAGGTGCGCCTGTCTCCTTCGATTTAACCTCCCTCTCTCATCTGTCTTGTCTTCTGATTTTCCCTCTGTCACCAGTTGAACTCTCTTTGTTGCTGTTCTACATGTAGTTGTAGATAATGCTGCCAAGCTTCTGATGTTGATTCCCAGTGGAGCAGTCCCAGGTTAATTTTTAATGAAGATGTGCAAAGTTTGAACTAAAAATACAAATTATTCATGTCATTCAGCCCAGAGAGGTGTGTCTGTAATTTAACAGTGCTGGGTGGGTGGTCATATCAAACATACCAAGGTGGGAGAGTGTGTGCATCAGAGTCTCTGCCACTGCAATGTGATAGAGGAAGCCAGAATGTGGTGTATTTGTGCGACTGGCACAAAGCCATTATCCTCACTTGTTCTGCACACTGTATGAAAACATATGCATCAATACATAAATAGACACACAAGCACAAAGCTGCACACAAGCAAGTGTGTGTGTGCACACACTCTCCATCTTCAAGCGTATTTGCCAACACACTCCGTTAAAGACGGATTGCAGTGTGACATTGGTGATGATCCAGGCTGTTATTACTGTGACTGGCAGGACATTTAATTAGAGGGCAGAGAGTCCAGCACCAGCTCTGCTCTGGCTCTATATTAGACAAACTTTAATGTTTCTAATAGCGTTGCCACTCACTGGCCTGCTCTCGACGTGATCTGCTTAATGGCAGGTGTTCTCAAATAGCTGGAGATGTCAGGGGAGATGTTGTTTTTACTCAACTCGGGCCTGTGTTTTTTGTTTTTTTTTGTTTTGTTTTTTTAGCAGGTTTCCTCTAAAAGCAGCACTGACTCTCGCACCGTGCAGTTAATGCGCTGGAAAATAAGTGCGTCTGCACACGGAAAGACAATGAAGCCTAAGTTGACGAGAGCACATTAGAGTTTGTTGAGTCACATTAAGCAGGGGATGGTACTTGATCAAACCAGCACAGTGATTAGGTTTGCACTGCAGAACTCCCACAGCTAAAACCCTCTGCTCCCACAGCAGCCAGATAAGAGACTTAATTTCTGACGCAGCTAAAGTTGAGATGAGGAAGCGAAGGGGAACTGTGGCTGGGATGTGTGTGTCGGGGGGGTATCTAGGGAATATTAGGGAAGTGGGTCAGATGATTCAGTATCCAAAGCAAATAAGAGCTCATATTCCACTGCTCTCTTGAAGATGTGATGCTAAATACTGCAGTAAAATCACAGCACCAGATGCATGCCGCATGCTAGAAAACCTACCACGCATAATGTGGCAAATGTTATCCAGTTCTTCAGTAGAGAATATAGCTTCACGAATCAGATGATTGATTATATTAGCAAAAATCTCTGCAAGTGCTCATTACAAAGTAAAAACCAAAAGGGGTGAGACTGAGGCATGCTGATATTTGCAATCGCCTTTCTGATGCAGGTATCTCTATTTAGTCATATTTTTGGCTGCTGTATGAGTCTCCAGATATTTGGCTGTTCAGTTTTGCTTTCTGCCTGAAGCATGCCCTGATCAGCGGCTCAGTTTAGTGTCTCCAAGTTTGTTTGGCTATGCTATAAACTCCTGGGAGACATTAGCAGAGGTAACATTCAGCCCCGCTGTCTTTTCACAGTTACAGTCAGAAGCAATTTGAGAGTTTACCTCAAATATGACACACTGGCTTCCCTGAAACCAGTCTATATTGGGATCTGTAGGTAGGCTCTATGGCAATAATGAAGCCTCTGAGTTGTCTAGCTCCTGTCATTGCTGTAAAATCCACATCCAGGACAACTGTAGCTGCTGGGCTCTGAAGGCAGCGTGGACAGCTTTTTTGCAGCTCTCTGGCAAATAACTGCTGAATCTATGGGAGTAAGACAGCATTTGCATTTTGCAGCATCTGTTGTGTGTAGCATTAGCAACCAGTATTTCAGGACAGGCTCTGTGACAGGCGGCCCACACTTGTAAGGACACTTCGGACTATGAGCACGCCTTAAGCTGGCTCTGACAGCTAAATGTAACAAAACTGTTGGGTTTTAACAGTGAAAGTTAACATTAGCATATGGCCCTCAGTAATACAAGTCTAGAAAATGTTCTTTCAAATATAGCAAAAAGTGACTGTGTGTCTGTGTCAGTTTCTAAAGCCTTGTCTGTGCTGAGGCTTACACAATCAGTGGGCCCTCGGATCAGCTGGCAATGTGTGTTGAGCGTCATGGCAACCTGTCTGTGTGCGAGACGTGTGTTAGTCAATGGAGCTGTCCATAACTGAAGGATGAGCCACTGCTCTCCACTGCAGTCAAAGAAATCACCCTCTAATGTATGTGATGGGTTAAAGGATGATGATGATGTCATGGCTGGAAAACTTGGTCCTGTGAAGCAGCTGCTCTCCAGGCCACATTTACACCCCAGTTTCTTTTCAAAGAAACAGGCACAGCCTGAAAATCTTCCAATTAGTACAATAGTGTCTAAGCGCATGGATTGGATCTTGGAGCTATTATTCTGGGCAAAAATCACAATTACACCAGAAGGGGATAGAATTTATACATCTCTAGCTATTGAGTATCTTAATCCTTCAGGGATTTGATCTTTTATGATACCCAGGTGATATAAGTGATCTCCCTTTTTATATCTAGCACCACTATAGTTACCTGTACTAGATGCACACTCACTGCTTTATTAGGTAGGTATGTAGTACTGGATTGGACACGCTTTTGGTTTGCTATAAGTCTGCTGGAAACAGAGGTGCTGGAGATTTTAGTCCATATTGACATGACAGCATCAGACAGATACTGCAGATTTGTCAGCTGCACATCCATGATATGAAATCCAGTTCCACAACATCCCAGAGCCACTATGTTGGATTGAGAAAGCCATTTGAGTACAGTGTTAAGAATCCTGTATTAGATTATTTGAGCTTTGTGACATGGTGTGTTATCCTGCTGGAAGCAGCCATCAGAAGACGGGCATACTGTGGTCATAAAGGGATGGCTGTGGTTTAAGTGATGCTCAGTGGGTACAAGCCCAAAGTGTGCCAGGAAAATATCTCCCACACCAGCAGCGTGAACGGTTAATAAAAGGAAGGATGAATCCATGCTTTCATGTTGTTCATGCCAAATTTGGACCCTACCATGTGAATATCGTGCCATAAATAGAGATTTATCAGACTGAATGTTTTTCCATTCTTCTATTGTTCAATTTTGGTGAGCCCTTGTAAATTGTAGCTTTAGTTTTTTGTTCTTAGCTGACATGAGTGTGGTGTTCCTGCTGCTGTAGCCCATCTGCTTCAAGGTACAACGCGTTGTGCATTCAGAGATGCTCTCTTGCATACCTTATTTGTAATGCGTGGTTATTTGAGTTGTTTTTTCCTTCTTATTAGATCAAAGCACTTCTCTGCTGATCTCTGGCTTCGACAAGACATTTTCACTCAGAAAACTGACACTCACTGGATATTTTCTCTTTTTTGGAACACGGCCTGTAAACACTAGGGATGGTTGTGTTGGAAAATCCCAGTAGATCAGCAGTTTCTGAAATATTCAGACCAGCCTGTCTGACAGCAACAACCACGTGTCACGTTCAGAGTCATTTAAATCACATTTCTTCCTCATTCTGATGCTCTGTTTGAACTGCAAATGCATTGAGTTGCTGCCATATCTAATAAAGTGGCTGGTGAGTGTATTTCATCAGCCTTAGCTGTAAATGCATTTAAAAGTAGCACAGTAACAATAGCAACATGCTGTTAAAATTGGTCTATACCTGATGAACAGTAACATTTTTTTATCTCCTCGGCTAAAGGTTAATGGAGCCAGTAACAAATGGCTCCCTTTAACAACTTTAAAATGTTTAATTTTAATTTCTATATCTTTCTTTGTCTTAGAGTAGTTTGAGGAATCTCCAAATTAAGCTTCTGTCTCCCCGTCTTCATTATTTAACCTAACCCTTTAGCTCACAGTGAATTCTACTGCTGGTCATTCTCACTGGTTTTCTCTCTCTTTTCCACACCTTTTTATAGTATTTATTTACTGTTTTATTTGTAGTGATGTATTTTTCAAGTGTTATATTTAAAGAAAAAAGAAAAGGGAAGTCCATTCACACTGTTGTGGATTTAAATAGTTCTTTCCATTAAGTGCAAATCTGGTGAATGATGCTCACTGGAAAGCCTGTGAAGTCGTGATAACCGGAAAGTCTCTGTGTTTAGTTTAGCGCTCTCTACACGGACTGGATGCATCAGGCACTGTGATAAGGAGGTGAGGCATGTGAGTGAGTGTGCGTCTGTGCATGTGTGTGTTTGTGTGCATGTGGGGATCTGACAGGCCCTCCAACTATTTACGAGCTCAGCCGATTCCTGCCTCACTTCATTAGTCCCAGCTATGAGACCGTTGCTAAAATTAGTCCCCTGTGCAATGTGGGGCCCTGCAATGCTGACACACTTACACACACTCCCTAACACACATGCACACACACACACACACTTGCAAACAAAGACTAGAAAACTTTCCCACTGCCAAGTCATGTTTTCCTAAATGTTCCCGTTCCAAATACTGCTCTTTCGACCCCCGCAGTGCTGTCAGTACAATTTCTTTTCTTCACATACTTTTACACACACCACACCGAAAGCACAACAAATACTGCCTCCCGATAGCGTACTGGGGGAAGATATGAACACTGCAGACTTTAACGAAACATTACATCACCGAGATATTCATGGATTTGGCATTTTATTCCTATTAATGATATTAACCCTTTCAATCTCCTCTCTTCTCCAGGCGTTGTGTGGCTGCACAGTTAGCATTCCCACGCTGGAAAACCGCGTTATCTCCCTCCCTTGTCACGACATCATCAAGCCAGGGACGGTGAAACGACTCAGAGGCGAAGGCCTGCCTTTTCCAAAGAACCCTTCACAGCGTGGTGACCTCATCGTGGAGTTTTCGGTCCGTTTTCCCGACAGGATCCCCCCTCAGTCCAGAGAAATTATCAGACAACACCTCCCCCAGTCCTAGAAAGACACATCTCTAACTCCTCCACCACAAACTCCAGACTAAACCTGAGGAAAAAAACTACACTCCTTCATCTACTCCTTCTTTGTTTGTAGTTACCCTCATGTCCCTGTGAATGAATACAGCTTTGAACATGTGCTGTGATAATTTAGGGACTTCACAAAAGGAAGAATGGCAGTATCAGGATGTAAAGTACTCATATTTATTTTGTCTTTCAGCCCAAACGCGCGCGCACACAGACACACACAGACCCACAAATACATACACACAAGCACCCTGAGCAGCAGAGCGGTGCTGAGGATGGGCTCAGCACGATTCTGGTTTTTAAGGGAACCTCTTTTCTTAACTGTTTTATACGGATTTATCAGTGGTTTTATATGCCGTCCGACTCTGATCCTCGTCTTTTTGTGATAGGATAAAGCGTGAAATATTTTATAACAAGAACAGGATTTTGTTTTCCAAACATGTCAAAAAAGGATTGCTTAATGTTTACATTAAGTGTACCAGCAGCTTCAGTGGTTTTTAGCATAGCCTTTCCTTTGGCACATGCCAGAGTTTTTCTTCTTTTTTCTCCCCCATGCTTTCAATCTAATAAAGAATTATGCTTGAAAATCTGTAGGCCATTAGTATGATCTGTCTCCCCTAAAATATCCCTAGACGTGCAGTGCCACAGAGCTCTAAAAACTCTTGCATTACTCCAATAATATTAGCATAGTTTAGCTGCAATGGAAGAATCTGGGAATGACAATCACGTAACTGTAACAGCAGTGTAAGTTTAGATATCTGCACATAATATCGGTGCTTTCCCTTCTGAGCTGTGAACTGAATAGCCTGGCTCAATATCTGAGGGACATTTAGGTGCCTTAGCCCGGTGTCACACCACATATGTGAACACACATACAGGTCACACTATAATAAAGACAAATAGCCATGAACACAACACATGATGCCCTATGCTGTGTTAGGCGTTACCACCAGGACCTGGTAATTTTAAAAAAAACGGTAAGCAAGCTATGTAAAGTAATTCACCTTACTGTACTGTATGTAAGAAGGATCATTTATAGGAAGTGATTTGATACAAGACTGATGATTTTTGCCAATTCGTCTTTGTAAAGTGCCATACAAGTAATTGCTGGATTTCCCAGAGGAATGCAAGCGTGACGTTAGACCGATTCCTGTGGGAAAGCCAGCTTTGTTGTGGGATATTCTGCTTTCTCTTGTGGCATTTGAAGGCCATGTCTCGGTGCTACTGTGAGCAATGCCAAAAAGTAGACCGCATTGTTGTCTACTTTTTTGGTTACATGGAGTCCTCAGTTTCCGATGTGATAAATGCCTCTGTTCCCTAACAGCTGTACATCAAACGTTACAAACTGTACGTAGTGCAAATAGAAAAACTGTTCTCTGTCTCAGCTGCAGGGGACGCCCTTGAGCTCTTCCTCGCTGTAATTTGCAGCAGTGGTGAGAATATGTGTGGGTTATGCTGACAGTCCTAGTAGGTCGAATAAATGAGGTGTACAGGAAAATATTTGAATGCTTCGTGTTTGATAAATTCTCTTTTATATTGTGAAAGACAAAACTATAAGATATGTTGTTGTTTTTTCTCTTTGGGGAGAGACTTGAATGACTTGTGTGATGGTCCTGTGGCAACAACCAGGCTTAACAAGTGCTGCTGCTGCTAATCAAAGACTCACTTACACTGCTTATTGTGCATATGCCAATATCTATGAATTTTTCAAAATGAAAACAAATAAACCAAATGTGTGAAGTTTGCTTCATTTTCATTTATTGCTGCTTGAGAACAAGTACCAGTTCCTAATAACATTCACCTCAAAGTGCTTTACAGTCTAAGAAAAACTGATAATCTCAGAACTCCTATGAGCAAGCACTTGGCAACAGTGGGAAAGAAGAAAACCTCAAGGAGGGGGGAGGAGAAAAGACCAACATGCAACATTATATAAGATTAAAACCTTTCTCAGCGCACAACAGCAACAACAAACATACCTTAACCTGTTAATTTTGCCTCTTTTACACCACCACAGTGGAGTTTAAACCAGGCATAAAGATGTTTGAAGTGCAGATTCTCTGATTTCATTAAAGGGGTTTTACAAAACACCTCCATTCACTGCTTAACAATTATGACCATTGGCTGACAACCAGTTTCATGTCCAACTGAGGCCTGTTTTCTCATTATTCCAGGATAAACCGTAATATGAGATCCAAGGATATATTGATGGAAATGAAGGAGGATGCCATAAGACTGAAAAACCAAATACGAGTAGTTTTCACTGTGTTGTAGACCTTCTGTATTTATTTTCATAATCAAATGTAGACGTTTGAAGAATAGGCCTACCAGAGAGTGTTCTTGACTTTGTTAGATGTTGTTTCTCTTAACCATGCACACAATTCTGTCTTTGAGCACCATATTTGTCTCCTGTGGTACCTCAAGCAAGTTCATCACTTGGAGTCCATTCCAACTCCATATCTTCTATCTGCACCATTTATCATTAAATAACAAAGGAACAGATCTCACCTGGCCATGAAACTGCGTGTCAGACGATAATTTTTAAGTATTGGAAAATGGGAGACTATAAATGGCTGTAATTTCTTAAAAGTTAATGCAATACTTTTGTAAAATGCTTTGAGTTAAAGCTAAAAATTTGCACTTCAGTCACACTGTTCGAGTTCTGTTTGATCTGAAATCTTCTGTGGTTGCGTACAGAGGCAAGAGTGGACAGCATAGAAAGACATTCACGGGTATGACCAATTTAGAATCGTTACTTAAGTTTGACGAATGTTATTCGGACCCTCAGGAGTACCATGCAGGCACAGGGAAAACATGCAAGCTCCACACAGAAAGGCCCCAGCCATCCAACATGAACCAGTAACTGTCTTGTTAACCACTTTACCACCGTGACACCTGCCTGTCCTTACCTTGCTTGCAAAGTTAAAATTGTTGGGTTTTGTGTATTTGTATTTTTGCTTTGCGCATGAAGGCCACTGTAATACATTTATCTGACAGTTTTTATTACAGTTGTAAGGTTAACAAGATCCATCAAGATTTGTTCGTGTAATCTTCAGTCATGGTTTTGTTTAACTTCATGTTTGAAGACTAAATTATCCGACATTTCTTTAGAGAAAATAGTCAAAAGAATGTAAACAAATCTCTGTATCAAAACTATTTTTTCATCTTCCCTGCTGCATTCATCTTCTCAGACGTAGATAGATGGATAGATTATTGATTTGATTGGGCATTTAAGGTTAGCAAGATCAAAACTGGAATAAGACTCCAAATTCTGAAAGTAATATGGAAGTAAAAATTGAGCAGCCACCAGCACCTCTAAACAAATAAATCTGCCTTGTGACCCTGGTCATGAATGTTTAACAGTGTGCATGGTGGAATTTGGACATTTTCCATCAGCCGTAGTTACAGATAAACATATGAAGACAGACTGACCTCAGCGTGCTAAAATTCTGATGGACTCAACCTTCAACTGATCACTGGTTCATCTTCTGAAGCAATTCCAGGTACGAGAAGAAAGACTTTTTATTCAAATGCTGGTTGTGTTTGATGGTTACTGGTTTAAATGTTTTCTCCTGCACCCTGGGCAGAGCAAAGGGAAGGTGATCTGTGCTGGGAGATCACGTGAAACAACTGCAGTGCCTGATGAGCAAAGTCTGTGTGTGCGCCCCACATGTTGAGGATAAAACAGGCAATTAGTGAACCATGGAAAGGCTGCCTGAGATGTGCTCCAGTAACTCTGCACTGTGACGAATGGCATCTAGCCGCATCAGCCATTTCTTGCGACGGGGCTGAGTTCACAAAGAGTTTATATTTTCACCGAAACACAGTTTTAAGCTCAAATGGAAAAAGAACAGCTAATAACAGAAAAGTGGGTCAGCAAGCAAGACGATTGCTTGTTAAAGGAATTTGCATATGTAGAGTATATGATTCATACACATGACCCCAGCTGTAGTGCAGATCATGAACTCATATGTGTTTTAATCAGTAACTCAGTGTTAGGACTTGGTCATGATGACCAGACAACTAAGCCTCATATAAGCTCGCGAGTGAAGACCTCACACACTCCTCTTTGTCTTTTCTCCGCCAGGTTCTCAGAGTTGGAGCATGAACACCTTTGTGGCTCTCTCGACACGGCAGAGGATGCCCGTGATTGGACTCGGCACATGGAAAAGTACCTCGGGACAGGCAGGGACATAAACACTCACACAGAGTTAGCAGGTCCAACAAATGTTTTTGGACATGGTGGAATTTTAAAGCTTACGTCTGTCTCTGTGTGTTCTCAGGTGAAGCAGGCAGTGCATAAAGCTTTAGAGTGTGGATACAGGCACTTTGATTGTGCTGCTGCTTATGAGAATGAAAAGGAGGTTGGAGAGGCTCTGACTCTCTGGGTGGGTCCAGGAAAGGTGAGCTTTGGTGGTCTTTTAATCAGCTCCAGGTGCCTTTATTCTCTTCACGTCAGCCACATCAGTAGGCTGGTGTGGACATGTGCCATAAAAATACATACAAAAGTAAAAACTACAAATATTTAGCCGAACTTTTCAAAGCAATCCACATGCTTTCTTGACTCAGAGCTTTAAAAGTGAGCTTTAGAATGATATTAAGAATTGTAGGAGCTATCTGCTGGACCATGTAATAGGGTAGCCTATCAGACACATGCAGTGCTACTGTGAGCAAATTAATTATTATTATTATTATTATTATTTATTTATTTATTTACAATTAAATAGAATTTCCTGGCAGTTATTTCATGTTTCAGGCTTTACAGTGTTAACTGATAAATCTACTGACATTCAGATAAAAAACGGATAAATATTTTCAGTTTAGTCACATAAACAAACAAGATATCTGCTCCTTATCTTACCTGTGAAGTGTTTTTCTGTTGATTGTTGCTGTTGTTTATTAAACCTGAGGGCCACTGCAGGGTTAGAGATGTATGACAGTTTTAGTTATATTTCTGAGGTTAGGAAGCTCTGCCAAGATGTTTTTTCATCTATACTTCTCTCGTGGGTTTTTTGTTGTTTTTTGTTTGTTTTTTTCAAATAAATTTCAGAAACCCAAATAACATAATGTTTCTTTAAAGAAGAGTCCAAAGAGTGTATACAAATCACTGTGTCAGCAAATGGTTTTGAAGAAGTGGTTAATATTTGGTCTGTAAGCCAAAACATGTAGATGAAGATTGGTTTTAACATAGGTTCAAGTCTGCAGTTTACTACCATCAGGCTCAAACTTGTCACTGTCTGTAATGTGCCCTGTTCAAGTGTTTCCCTGTATTCAGAGCAGTCATTGGTTTGTATCCGTGTCATACTTTCCGCTCCAGGCTCTGCAGCGTGAAGAAGTGTTTGTGACTTCCAAACTGTGGAACACCAAACATGACCCCCAGGATGTTGAAGAGGCATGCAGGACCAGTTTAGCAGATCTGGGTCTCTCCTACCTGGACCTTTACCTCATGCACTGGCCCATTGCATTTCAGTGAGTGACTACACACACTCAGTAATGTTAATACGTCTCCATCTGGCTGTAACTGAGCAGAGATTGAATTGTCACTTTACCTGAAGCAGCTATTCAGGTGTGGGCGTTTCAGGAGGGGGAAGGAACTGATGCCTCGAAAGGAAGATGGAAGCATTTGTTACTCTGACACACACTACAGGGATACTTGGACTGCCATGGAGAGCCTCGTAGATAGAGGGCTAGTCAAGGCTATAGGTCTGTCCAACTTCAATGCCAGGCAGACTGATGACATCATAAGCATGGCCAGACACAAACCTGTAGTAAACCACGTGCAGCTACATTTTTTTCAGCTCTGTTCAAACAAGTCAGTAAACTGTACCTAATAATTGTGTGTCTGTGTTACAGGTTGAATGCCATCCATATTTGTCTCAAGCAGATCTCCTCTCACACTGTCGGTCAGTTTAATGATTGTTTAACATTCAAACTGGCAGTCATCCTTTCTGAGATTAATATGTCAAAGTAACAGGTTTCACACCTCCATCTCAGCTCAGTGGGAGTTTGTGTGACAGCTTACAGTCCTCTGGGCAGTGGAGACAGACCCTGGGCCTCCGCTAATGAACCAAGTCTGCTAGCAGATCCTTGACTGGGAGCCATAGCCCAAAGATACAAGAAGACACCGGCCCAGGTTATACTCCGGTAAGGCAGGAAAACTCAAAGTAATACAATCACCACTAATCCCTTTAACGGTGTCCTCCATTTATTTGACTAATCACATGACTCAATGACTCATTTGCAGGTGGCACATTCAGAGGGGTGTTGTGTGTATTCCCAAAAGCGTGACGCCTTCCAGAATCCAGCAGAACTTGAACGTGTTTGACTTTTCCTTGTCAGAAGAGGACACGAAGAGCATTGAATCCTTCAATCACAACAAGCGTTTCATCGCTCCAACAGTCGAGGTAAGTCACCAAGTCTCCTTGGCACCTAAAAACAATTCTGAACTGCTTCTTCCCCCAGAGCCTAAATATTTAGATGTTTATATACCAAAGCATGAACTATTGTGGTCTCCCTCTGGAGAAGGCTCACAGCTGGTGATTTCAGTAGGTCTTGGATTTTAAACAGTTTCTAAGAAGTGTTTGGAGTTAGTTGGGTATAGTAGTACATTAATAGGCAAATTATTAAAATAAACCATTAACTACAATTTGCATTTGTTTCTACAGAGAGAGAGTGTGGAGAGATGCTGAACATCCTCATTTCCCCTTCCATGATGCTTACTGAGTCTCTAGCAAAGTCGATGTATACTTTTTAAGAAGAGTTGTCACTATGATTAATTTCATAGCAATTTTAGTTCAGTAATTTTGATCAATTTTCACCCCCGTTACATTTTCAGTATGGGGGAAGAAAAAAAGAAAGAAAAAGAAAAAAAAATCCAAGCAGCAGTGTTTCTCTCACAGTTACAGTGACACTGTGTGGACAGAAACTGAACAGTATCTTAGCCCAGTGACAGCACTACTGATCACGTCTTTATACTTTCACTCTGCTGGCAGCAGAGAACAGACAGATCTCATCAACTACAAACTGCCCTGTAAAGAGTTTTAGTGTCTGGTAGAAGAAGTAGGAGGGGGGTGAACCAAACAAACTTTGTTACATGCCGTCTTTCTGCAAGATTTACATCTCTGTCAAACAGGCAGATAAATGGCAAATAATACCAGGTACCATAAATGCAGATGATTTAACCTCACTCTGATGAATCAAGTATCTGTTTAACTTAATTTTGTAATGCCTAATATACAAGCAATAAAAAAGCTTAATAGAAACTGACAACAGTTCTGTTTCGTGAGATTTTATTTTCCAACAACATAACCTTGACAAATTTGTAATACATTATATGCTACTGTTTATTTAAAAAAACAAAACAAAAAAAGGAAGTCATTAGCAATATGTTTGTGTTTTTTTTCTCTTTTCTTTCTAGCATAGAATTCCATCACTATAGTCATTCATGTTGGTTGTGATATACTGAGAATGAGGCCACTCAAACATCACCCCCCACCCCAGGAAAAAGAAATCCACAGTCAGTTTTTCCACCTTCCAATTCCAACATCCCCTTACCCCACCCACATCAAAGCCAGGGCAAACCAAGCAGCTACATGCTTTCTCCAAGGGGGGGAAAAAAAGAAAAAAAGAGGGGAAAAAAAACAAACCATACAAAAGAAAAAAAAGGAACACATGAAAGAAGCACAAAGTCCTAAAAATGTGGAATCTGGTGAGATTTGTACAGGTGTGATCCCAGTACTGACCACTGTGGGGCAGTGTATGTTTATCCATACAGGTCATCATCATTATCTTCATTGAACACTGGACCGGTGCCAGTTCCACCAGAACCATGGCTTGGACCACTGCCGCCTGTAGCACTGGAGGGAAACCTGAAAGGAAACATTTTTATTTATTCTTTATTCTTACATTCAGAGGAAACTTCTCCAGATATCCTTTAAATACACAGCTGGTTTCAGCTTTTGAGTGTATTAAAGAATCTACTCTATTCAAAATAGTCATATTACAGTTAGAGCTGGGCGATATAAGATTTTTTCATATCATGATATGAGCCACTAAAGCATTTAAGTTTCAAAATAGAACAAACAAAACAGACTACTAAATTGTCACTTAGAAACAAAATATTAATTCTAAAAATTAATCTTAGTTTATTTTACAGAAGAAGAGACAAAATTGACTAACTTATATAATATTGCTTTGGAAGTGCTGTCTGAGATAAATGTTTATGTCAACGGAGTTGGTAACAAGGATCCATTACCTTAATTAGCTGCTTGAATCCTTCATTTTCGACCGTGTTTATTGGTAGCATGTCTTTAGCAAGACAGTAAGCTGTGGCATTCGTTATGTTGCTATGTCTCTCAGCTTTTTTGTCATATGGTAAGACGCTGGAGAAAGCAGACTTAATTGACTGTTGCTGCTTCGCAGGGATTCCCCTGGTTGTTTTCGATGACGAATTAGCGCTTTCAGTCAGAGATTGAGCGTGCTCTAGTGGGTGACACTGCTTCAGTTGATAAAAAAGGTTTGTTGTATTTCCAGACTTTGTGGGAACATGCTTTTGGCGCAATTTACAGTGCGTGTTACTCTGTTTTTTGGTCAGACTTCAAATAGCCGAAATACCTCCACACTACGGAATTTCTCTGGCCTTTCCTTTCGACAATCTCTAGTTTCATTTTTCTATCGAGAAAAAGTTATTTCGCAATACATATTGTTCTATCGCCCAGCTCTAATTACAGTACAATCAATGAGAACTTAGAAGGAATAGCATCCACATTAATGGTTCTTTTCTGCAAAACTTAAAACTACATGACTTTCAAAATTTAGTATGAAATGAAAGTACCTGAAGCTGCCAAAGCCACGGCTCTGCTGCAGTGTCTGAGCGAACATCTCGTATTTGCGAATGTCATTGTCACTGACGGAGCGGCGAGCAAATCGCATTGCCTCTTCAAAGTGGTCCTTCCTGATCTCCGGTACAGGATCATCCTCTTCTACCTCCTATGAAATCAACATTTTATACATGAGAGATCAGAGGCAGCAGCATTGCAATAGTTTGAAGATGCTCATCCTGATATGAAAAAGTGAACACGGAGATAAAACAAGTGCTGACCATAGCTGATGGGTTGGTCTGCCTCTCCCTCTCTCTGCGGATCTCGTTTTCAATGCTCTCCCTGATGGCCAGTTTACATGCCCGCTGGCAGATCTCTGTGAGATCAGCTCCAGAGAAGCCGTTGGTCATCTTAGCCAGGAAGTCCAAGTCCACATCCTATCAAACGGAGACAATGTCAAATTTTAACTTCTATTCAGTTACAATTAGTAAGTCACATTTTTTGTTAGCTACTTTTGGCTGCTCCCCTTGTCACAAGAGGGCCATCATATTGGGCATCTCTGCTGAGGTTTCATTTGGCAGTTTTTACACCAGATGCCACTCCTGATGAAACCTCAAAGGGGACATTTCTATTAATGTTCTAAATTGCTTGTAAGACCATTTCTTAACATCTATCATTGTTCTAATAAACAATCCTGAAGTAATTAGAAGCAAATTTTAAATTTTTAACAAAATGACAACATTTTACAGGAATTCAGCATCAACTGTTTGTATGCTACTTTATGCTACAGTAACTACACCAAGAAAAAAAACAAACAAAAAAACAACACAAGAGTTAAGTGGGTATGTCAGTTGTGTGAGTAAGTAGCAGCTTTGTCACCTTGCTGATGGGACTCTTGCGGAGGTTGGCCTTCAGGATGCTGACCCTGCTCTTCTCGTCAGGCAGGGGGATGTAGATGAGCTGATCCAGACGGCCAGGTCTCAGGATGGCAGGGTCGATGATGTCTGGTCTGTTTGTGGCTCCAATGATAAAGACGTTTTTCTTGCTTGACATTCCATCCATCTCAGTCAGGATCTGGTTGATGACGCGGTCTGCGGCTCCACCGCCATCTCCCACGTTGCCACCACGGGCCTTGGCTATGGAGTCCAGCTCATCAAAGAAGAGAACGCATGGGGCTGCTTGACGAGCCTACATGTAGAAGATGAGCACACACATCAAATATACAAAGAAATCGGTCCTATCCAGCACCAAACTGTTAAATGTGACAACTCTGATTTAACAACATTCAAATTCTCTGACATCCAAATGCAACGACAGATATCCTACAAAGTCTCACCTTGTCGAAGATCTCTCTGACATTAGCCTCAGACTCTCCAAACCACATAGTGAGCAGCTCAGGTCCTTTGATAGATATGAAGTTTGCCTGGCACTCGTTGGCAATGGCTTTGGCCAACAGAGTCTTACCACATCCAGGGGGACCATAGAATAGCACACCCTTGGATGGGGTCATGCCAAACTTGAGGAACTTGTCTGGGTGCTCCACTGGGTACTAAATTAAGTACAAGTAAGGGGGGAAACAGTTAGAGACAACACTAAGCCTTCAGTTTACAATGTATCAGTTGTTTCAGACATTTCTAAATGAGGCTCATACCTGCACCAACTCTTGCAGCTCCCTCTTGACATCATCCAGACCACCAATATCCTCCCAGGTAATGTTGGGAACCTCAACAACAGTCTCTCTCAGGGCTGATGGGTTGCTCTGGCTCAGAGCCCACTGGATAACAGAGTTGATCGTGTTAGTATTGACGCCAAAAGGCAACTACTGGCTATGTGAATACCATCTTAGGCCGGAACTGCTGAAGACATCAGACATGCACTTTCTTGAACACAGAACCTGGCATAGCCCCTAATGAAATTTGCATCAATCCAACTCCAGACTCAGATACATAGTACTGTCCCTACCATGACAGCAACCCTGTATGTAACAGTAACCCCAGTTAACGAAGGAGTATCAGATTGCTTACCTTGAAGTCATCCATGGTGACAGCAAGAGAGTTCATGACTTCAGCATCAATGGTCTCATCCTCCAGGTCAATCAGGTCCATCTTCTTCCTAATGGCCTGCAGAGCAGCCTCAGAGCACAGAGCTGCCAGATCTGCACCCACATGCCCGTGAGTCTCATTGGCTACCTAAAATTGGAAACAGAGAGCTCAACACTTAGGAATTCTTCCCTAGGTTTCCAAGCAATGTGCCTTACATGTGACAAAGACCTCCATCTGTAGCTTTATGCAACTCAGCTACTTGATAATGGATGACTGTGTCACAAGGAACAATTATAATACACTGAATGCCAGGCCAAGTACAGTCACTAAGGTTAGCTTGGGAACTGAGTAATGTGAAAGTAGCTCTTCATTAGATAGTATAACAGCAGATTAACAATAGTTACATATAATTACTTAAAACATGTAGTACAATTTTACTTCTTAGTCTCAGGCAATAATAACCATATGGCTATACCCATCGTTCAAGGAATCCGTGTGTTGTATCTTTAAACCACACCAATTACAAGAAAAGAGTTATGTGTACAAACCTGTTCCAAGTCAACATCATCAGCCAGCTTCATGTTCTTGGTGTGAATCTGGAGAATCTCCAACCTTCCAGTAGCATCAGGGATACCAATGTCAACTTCCCTGTCAAAACGCCCTGAAAGTGACAAAGATTAAACCCAAGTATTAGTTTTAATGAGAAACCGTTACATGAATAAGATTATTAAAGTCCAAGAGTAAACTCAAAAGTAAAACTAGCTGTTTATTTAAATACAAACAAGAAAAATTGTTTTTTGCATTGGTGCATACACCATGTTTCAGGAATGTGGAAACATGGTGTGGGAATTCATGACTGATGTGTTTGCACAGTAACAACCCATCTTAACTTCCTGTTGAGCACATATTGCAGCTGATGCATCCCCCCATCATAGTTCACTGAACATTGTTAAAATAAATAAATAAATAAAACATTTACACCCCATGTTTAGCGCCTCGCTAACAGAGAAGTACAACACTATCTGCTGATGTTACAGAAGTATTTTAGTATGAAGACCAGCATAAATCATTCCATTTAACAGCATTCATATTTGAATGTTCAGAAAACATCCATGTCTAACTCTTTGAAAAGCCTTTGTTAGGATGTTTCTGACAGCTTTGACAAACTGAAGTGCAGAGTTGTGAGAAAGTGACCCACAATTAAACTGCAGACCCCACAAAATCAACACACCAGCAGTTTTAAAACTGCAACGACAAGGTTTTAGGAGGCATTCAAACAGTACTCTTCATGTTATCTAAAAATCTAACAACTTCATGTGCACGAATCTGTTCAAGTAATGATTTAACTTGAAAAATTATATTTTAATTTGCCTGAAGAGAAGCTGTAACGAACATATTCTG